ATGACTATGACTATGACTGTGATTCATAGTTCAGTGAGGTTAGGTTAATGACATTTTTTTATTGAAATTAAAATTTTTTATTTTATCAATTTTTTTTTGAAATAAAAAACATTAAGACAAATAATAATCATTTTTTAAAAAATTCTACATTAAAAAGATCTGAATAATTTAGGTGGGATAAAGTGATTAATTTCGATGCAGGTATGTATGATTTGATAGTGTTATTTTCATTTTAATTAGATCCATTAACACACACACACCGCATACCAATATCAACAGTTTAAATAAAATTTTTAGTAAAATTATTGTGTGGTTGGTTAAATTTTTACATTAAAATAAAAGCATTTATTTTTTTTCTGAAAGAATTTAAATAAAATCAAGTGTTTTTTGAGTCAAATAAATTATGCACATGAAATTTGTTGTTGATGTGATTTATGAAAGGAAGAAGAAAGACGAGATGAAAACGATTGATTGATTGGTAGCCATCATTTGACCGAAAAAATTCCAATTCAATTTGATGATGATGATTAGTAGCAAACAACAAATTTTGTTATCAAATTGGATTGAAAGTCTTTCAAATAATAAAATTGTTCCCAATTTTATCAAAAATATAATTTATCTAACCAATTTTTTCGAGATCAATTCTTCTTCACGTAGCTGTGTTTTAAAATTTCCTAAACGTTCTTGTAATTTATTTATTTGTTCCATTTGTTCGGCTAATAAATCTTCAAGATTTTGTACATAAACATCAACATTATAATCAACTTCGGATGTAAGATCAATCAGTCGATCATGTTCTTTGGTCCATCGTTGCATTTCCTATTTTTATTTGCAAAAAAATAAATCAAATCAATCAATCCAATCAATCAATAACCATACCTCAGAAATATTTTTATGCATATCAAGAACTTCTTCTTCCGATTCGGTTAAATGCGAAATAGCTTGATGCATTTTATAAAGATCATCATTAGACTGGTCAAAAAGATTAAATTAGATAATTAGATAATAATAACATTTGGAAATTCAAATAACACATACACTAGCTGCTTGTAGAATTTCCATATCATCACCATTGTCAACCATAGCTTCATCATCATCATCCACATCCACATCAACATCGACATCATCATCCATTTCTTTAACACATTCATCAGCTGAACCTGAACCATCGGTACCAAGTTCTTTAACACGATTAGCATAACGTAATGTATTCAATGTATGTTCACATGATTGAAATCCAGGTGATATCATTGCAATCATACAGGTACGAGAATTTTCACCAATAAATGAATCACGTAATACTTGTGTTAATTTACTAGCACGAAATGGTAAATGTGCACCACGTCTACCCAATGCACGAATACATTCTTTCAATGCCAATAATGATTTATTAATTTCAGCACCTTCCATTCTAGTTTGACGATTGGCTGAAGATGTATCGGCACCACGCTCATTACCAGCCAAATCGATTAACGAAAATTTTCCTTTAAGTTTATTATTCTGTGATTTTTTCAATATCAATTGAAATACTGCATGTGAACGCGATGAATGATTATTAGCCGATGTTACACCGGATGTACGAATATTATTGCCCATTTGAATCAATTTCAAAACATCATCCACTGAATCAACACGTCGTTCACAAAGGCCAACAATTTGTACTTGTCCTTTAGCATCTTCAAGAACACGTAATTTTTGTTTACCATTAAGTAGATCGAATACTTTTCCCGAATATATTTCAAAAAATGAGGCACTAACAAATAAATCTTCACCTTGCATTTTAGCTAATCTTAATTGTATGAATACATCACGTGCAGCCAATGCATAAATTCCTTTTGATGAATCTTGTGTTTTGCCATGAAAATCACCACCCATTGTATGTGTTTTACCACTACCGGTTTGTCCATATGCAAAACAAGTAGCCATACCACCTTCAAATATTGTTCGAACTAATGGTTTGGCCGTATATTTATAAACAAGTTCATTATTAGCTGATTCATCAAATGCATAATCAAAACGAAATCGTTGATTTTCCAAATACTTTGTTAGATCAACTTTTTGTTTTGGTTCATGTACTAAGACCATATCTTTAGTAGATATAGTTATCACATCAATATCTTTACGTAATTGTTCACGTTTATTTAATGGCCTTTTACGTACAGCAACACATATCTGATGATCATTAACCTGATCATTCATTGTAATTGGATTAAAATCCATTTGTGAACGATAATCACGTATCATGGCTAAAAATTCCCATTGTGATTGTGAATTTGGATCAACCGAACTCATCAATTCTATTTTTTCAGCTTTTTGTTCAGCTTGTCTGGCTCTTCGTTCTTCACGTTGTTTTTTAATTTTTTCCACTTCTTTTACAGCATTTGACCGACGACGAGCTGCATTACTAAGATTATTATTATTATTTGATGCGGTTGCCGTCGACAATCCATTGGTCGTATTCAATGCAGATGAATGTGATGATGATGTTGTTGATAATACTGCCGTTGCTGGCGTAGGATCAATATGATTATTATTATTATTATTAATAAGTAGATGTCCATTAGCAATTGTTTGTCTAGAATTTGTTTGCTGTCTCATACGAAGTGAACCTTTTGCTTGTTGGTGATGATTATTATGATGATTATTATTGTTATTATTATTTTGATGATGATTATGATGATGATGTGATGTAGCTAAATTTGCCGTACGTACAGGTAACATTGATGTATTCTGTTGTTATTTAGATTAAAAATTAAAGAAAAAATTATATTTCATTTAATTTGGTTTTTTCTTCATTAAAGAAATTTTTTAAAAAAACATGCAAAAAATTTTACGGTAAAGGACTCGATTGGACAAACAGAAGAAAACAAAATTTACGCTCACCTCTTCATGCTGCTGTATCATTAACATCACAAAAAAACAAATTACATTACACACACACATCAAATTAATTTTGATTTTAAAAACAAACACAGAAACACAAAAAAAAAACATTAATTATAATCATGCTAATTCGAAGAATGTTTTGATGCTGATTTTATTAATTTTCAAATTTTAGTTTACCTTTTTTGATTGTTGACCAGCACCAGCACCAACACCGGTAGCAACATTATTACCACCATTTGCTGTTGTTGAATTTGCCACCACCGCCGCTGCTGTTGTTGTTGCCGTAGCTGATGTTTTCGGTAAAACGAGGCTTGGGTTAAGTCGATAAATTTGTTCCAAATCAATCTGATATTTATGTGGGAAAAGATTTTTGTAAAACTTTCAAAACCAGAAAACAGAAACAAAAAAACTTACCTCTTTTCCTTTAACCTCTTCACCTTCAGCCCATTCAACTGTAACAGTTTTGGTTTCATAACTAATTGTCATGACAATTGCAGCATGTATTTTTCCTTTTTTTTGAAAAAGAAATTAAAAATCAAATCTTATTAATCAACCAAAACCAAAAAAGACGACTTACCATTTGTTCTTTGAATTTTTACCTCCATTCCACTAGTTAATGTAGCCATTTTTGGTTCTATTTTTTGATTTGATTTTTAAAAAAGCAAAAGTGTGACGAAAAATTTAAAAACACGCAGAAATGACTCGTCGTGTGTATATAGCTTGTTTGCTATTTCTTAATTTTAAATTCTAAAAAAAAATTTGGTAACAAAAAAATCAAGGTTATTCTGGAATTAAATTAACAATGAAACAAAGAAGAAAAAAGATCAATGGGGAAAGGAAAAAACAATCGATATTATAGAATTCGTTTTTTTTTTGTTCAGGTAACTTGAACTTGGTAAACTTGACAACAACAATAACCGTGGTGAAAAAAATTTCTAAATTTTTTTGGGAATTCTGGGGAAAATGTGAATTTTAAATTGCGTCATTCACCATTCAGTATCAAAACGAAACAAGAAGAATTTTACTCGAATTTCACTCAATATTCGAATCAACACATTTCAACAACAACAACAAAAACCACGACGACAATTTTTAGGACAAAAAAAAACATTAACACTTAAATGTTTGATCACTAAAAATGATTCCAATGATGATTCAACAAGATTTTCTTTTCTTTTTTTCGGTTTTGATGATGACTATATCAAAAAAAAAGAAAGAAAATGATGATGAGCAACCAACAACAACAAAAAACAAAACAAAAACCCTTTTCTCTCTCTATTTTTTGTTTCATTACTGTCTTTCTCTATCGCTTTCTCTATCTATCTCTATCTCTCAAATGCTTGTCATTTGTTGTTGTTGTTGTTGGATGATAAAAATTTATATCAAGTAATTCTTTTCTTTTTTTTTTTGTTCAAAATACCTTTGGAATGGATAATAATGATATATTTATAGGAGATATAAATAGAGATAAAAAGAGAAAAACAAAAACAAACCAGATTTAGGTAGAAATAGAATCGAATGATTATTTTGTTCGAACAACAAAAATTGATTCGATTCGATTCGAATCAGGATGAGATGTTCACTGAAGAGTTAAGATTTTTGTTTCGTTTTGTTTTGAAAAATATTTGTTTCCAAATTTGACAAATTCATTATCAAAGTTTTTTTCTTTTTGATTGATGGATGATCTTCTCACTTTTGTCTTGTCGTCGTCATCGATTCGATGATAATAATTGAAATAAAAAACCCCAAAAAACAAAACCAAATCAGAAAAAAAACTCGAATCGAATTCTTTGTTTGTTTGTAGTAGTTTGTTGGTTGTGATGGTCCACCAGGAAGCAGCAAATTTTTATATTGAAAAAAAAACTTGTTCAAATTGAACAAAACAAAAAAAAACAACGAGTTTTCGTTGTCGATGTCGTTTGTTTTCAGGGAAAAGATGTGTTTTAATATATGGTTTGTGTGATGAGTGTCTTGTCGACAAAACTCGGACAACAGTCGACAAAAGTTTTTGTTGGTGAAATTCGATGATTATTGCAACGAATTTTTTTTTATTTTTTTATTTTTTGCTGTTCGCGAAGCAAAAAAAACAAGCAACTTTTATATCGACAATAAATCAGCCAACTGAAACTGAATAATAAAATTATTGACCACTCCTACTACCCCCTGCTTCATTTCACTAATCTATGCTACTACTCGCCGAAAAAAAAGGGTGTTATACTTTTCGAAAAAAAGAGGGTCGTACATAAACGATAGGATCCGAAAATTTGAAACCAATTTATCTGCGGGATTAAAAAAGAAGAAAATTGAAATTAAATTCCGATCAATTAATTTGTTAAAATCAGATCAATTAATCAGTTGATCAAATCAATCGAATAGAAAACAAAACAAAACAAAATATTTCCGCATATTTTTTTGAAACCATACGCAAAAACAAAACAAATTTGACAGATTCTTATTTGATTTTGTTTCGGTTGCCATTGGCAACGACCGCGATGGTGATGAATCGTCAACAGCAACAAAATGTCGAAATAGAAAAATGATTTAACAGGAGAAAATCAAATTGTCGAAATGTGATATATAGGAAAATTTCAAACAAAGTCACGTTATATTGTGAAAACAAACGACCATTACCAATGGATTTTATGCCGAAACAGAAAAAACAGAAAATGAAAGAATGAAAAACGTTTCAACAAATTGAATAAATTAATTAAAAATTAATTGTTTGTTTGTTTGATTGAAAATTTGAAAGTTTCGATCATCAAATCTGACCTGATCTGAAGATCTAGGATCCAAGAAGATCCACGACGACAAAAACAAAACTTTATGAAGAAAAGAAAAATTATCATATTTTTTTTATTTTAATTAATTAATTTCAAATTCAAATATTCAAAAAGTCGAAAAAATGTTTGGAAAAAAGTAAAAAAAAATAAGAATATCAACAATCGATAGACAAGACATTTTTTTTGTTTGGTTGAAAAAATCGTCATAGAATTATTATCATTATCATTTTTTTTTTTGTTTTTTTTTAAGTTTCGTTGTTCAAAAAAAGAAAGGATATCCAAAAAAAGGTAATGAGAAGGTAGAAATAGTGGAATCTCAAAAAAATGATGATTATTGATGAAAGAATGATGATCGTTTGTAGACTAGATCCAAAACAACAACAACAACAACAGGAAAAAAATTATCATCATAAACAACAACTACCAATAACATCGGTAGAAATATCTGTAAATAATGATGATGATGATGATTGGGATGATGATTGTTGTTGTTGTTGTTGCGGTTGTTGTGATGATAAATCTATTTCTTTAATTGAATTATTATTATGGTTATTGTTATTATTATCTTCATTAATAACATTATCATTATCGTCATTGTCATCATTTTCGGACATTTCCATTTCATCCGAAGAACTAAATTCATCGAATGTTAAACGTTGTATAACGGATTTATTGTTTGCTGTTGATAATAATGATGATTTATTATAACCACCAATACCATATCCATTTATTGGACTTGTTGGTGTTGTTGGTATCATCATCATCATTGATGATGATGATAATGGTGATAATTTTGGTGTCATTTCAAAATTTGACGGTGATTGTTGTTGACGGTTATTTAAACGATTTACCGTTGAACATAGATTACGATTACTGCAATAAAAAAATTATTAATTAAATAAATGCAAAAAACAACAGGTAAAAATCAAAGTCAAAATTACCTTAATTTATCGAATCGATGTTCAAATGAATCATCTAACCTATGATTTTTATCATCACCAACATAATTACTATCACCATCATCACCTGAATTGGAACCAAATGATAAATCAAATGAAAGATTCGTAGATAAAAATCTTGTTGATTGTGTTAAATTGTTATCCATTGTCATTGTCATCATATCATCATCTGAATATTGATCTAAATAATTTGATACATATGTACGATTATAATTGTTTGGTGATTTTGTTGTTGTTGTTGTTTTTCCTTGATTATTTGAATTAGAAGATGATGTCGTTGATGATGATGATGATGAATTTGGTTGATTTAATAATGATGCAAGAATCATTTCAGAATTTGTTTGTTGTTGAATATTTGTTAATAAAAATCGAAATGGTACAGCCAAAATATTAATCATTTGTTTTATACATGACCATAATGGTAATAATAATTTTTGTTCCAGAAATAATTTATCAATCATATTGATTGTTTCCGTAAATTTTGTTTGTAATTTTTTTCTCATTAATTCATGACGTCTATGATTTTCATATTCAATAATAAATGGATGTTGTAATAATTGTCGGGCTGTTGGCCGTTTTAAATGATCAGGGTTTAACATCATTTTTATGATCTGTTTAAGATCATCACTTCGATCTAGAAATTTGGTGAAATTATAATTAATTTTCAATGGGAAATTTTCTCAGCAAAAAAAACTTACGTTTAAAAAGATAATCAGGTATATTACCATTACGTAACCAATGCCATGCATCACCACGACTTGGTAGATCTAAATCACTTGTAATTTCTAATATAGTCATGCCCAATGAAAATATATCAGCCGATTTTGTAAATATTCCTTGCATAATTTCACCGGCCAAATATTTTGGATCACCTTCCATTGCTTCTTTCAATTCATTATTCATATCGAATATTAGGCCAAAATCACCAAGTTTACAAATACCATCCATTGAAATGAATATATTTTCAGGTTTGATATCTAAATGAATCAGGTTATTTGAATGCAGATGATCCAATGCTTTGAGTAAATCAACTAAAATTGCCCATATTATTGATTCATTCAAATCATGATTATTATCGGCTAACATTGATAATGTACCGGCACATAATTCTTGTTCAATATAAAGACGTTGTTTTTCTTCCCATGCATAATGTAATTTAACCAGATGATCATGATCCGGTAGTTGTTCATGTTTACAAACTTCATTCAGTTTTTCTTCACGATCAATTCTACCTTTAAATTTTTCCCTGGATACTTTTACAGCATAATAACGTTGATTCCAACGATTACGACAACGAAATACATCACCAAATGAACCACTACCAATAAGTTCTTCAACTTGATAACATTGTTTTAAATATGATTCTTTTCGATGATCATTATACAATGGTGATAATTTTGATTGTTGTTGTTCATTTTTAAAAGATATTATTCGAGCTTTTTGTTGTTGCTGTTGTTGATTTGATTGATTCGAATTATGTTGTGGATGACAAGATGAATGATTCAATGTAAATGATAAACGACTATATTGTTGAAATGATTTTGATGGTGGTCGAGGTGGTAATTGTTTACATTTTGGTGTTGAACTATAACGTTCACGTTTGGTTGTCAAATTATTATAATCATTAAAAAATTGTGGTATTGGACGTGGCGTTGGTGTTGTCGTTGCCGATGATAGATTTGTTGGCGATGTCATCTTGTTTCAAGGAAGAATAATGGAAATGTAAAAAATGTAGTGAATGTCGAGAATCCAGAAACAAAAAACAGACACGATAAACAAAAAAAAATCAGTTGAAAATAGAAACCAAAAAAATGATTCAAAAGAAATTATGACAAAATTCAAAACAAAATAGAAGAAGAAAGTGTTTTTCTTGATGACATCGCAATTCGGCAATTATCATTTGGAATTTTTTACGCTGGGAAAAAAAGAAATTGACACAAAGATAATGTGTTTCACATTGGATCATCCGATTGAAGAAGAAGAAAAAGAAATTAGAAATATCAATTTTCGAATTTCGAACGCATGCGAATCACATAACAACAATGTTTGTGAGTTGAGTGATGAACACAAAAACAACATTGTTGACAATGTGTCAGCAGTGTGCACTGTATGAAAAACCGAAAATTCTTCATAAATGAGGTATAGACACACTTTTTTCTGTTTTGTTTTCGGGAATTTGATTTTTCGGAAAGATTTTTTTCTTTTTGAAAGATTTTTTTTTTGCTAAAAGAATTCCTGAATATTTTTCCCGAATAATATTTTCAAAAAATTTTTTCCCCAGCCAGCTAAAATTGATTCGAGAAAATTTCCACGGTTGAAATTGGAACGGTCAAAAAAAAAATTTGATCCGTTAAAAATATTCAAAATTGCTTCCGTTGGTTTCTTGCATCCACTATCTTTTCTTTTTTCTGGTAATGAAATTTTGGTCGGTTTTTTTTACCAAAAAACCAGATTTTCACACGTGTTGCATCCAAATGATTATTGCTGCAATATATAACTGAACTTTTACCTTTCACTCTAGTTTCAATTTAGCTCCACCCATTTTTTTTCAAAATGGCCGCCAAATATTTTCTCTGTGTAAAAACCGAATGCAACAAGTTGCATTTGCAATATTGCAATAGTTGTGCGCGTGCGTTTGAATGAAAACATAAATAACGCGCCATCTAATTTTAAAATTGTTAACAAAAAAAGTTTTTTTAAGCATTGACAGACGGCAGCATAATCAACAAAAGAATTATCATCTGTTTTTTCTTCGTGCGTTTGATTTGAATCAATTTTAATTTTCGTTTTGAAACAAAACAAAAATGAATGATCCACGTTTACAACGATCACCACCATTAATACGAACATTAAAATGGCTTGGATTATGGTCAGGTTTTTTCGGTATACTATATCTACATTATCATGGAATGTCACCGGAATATTTTTCCGAACGAAAACGATCAACCGAAACCGTACATCCAGATGATTGTCAAGATATTGTTGGTTATCGTCAAGAATTATTAGAATCTATACCAAAATATCATGATTAACGAAATGAAATAATGTTTGTAAATAAAATTCCATTGTTTTAGAAAAAACCTATAAAAAATTTGATTAATTGTCTTTCCAGCATAAAAAAACAATGGTAAAATCTTGATGATCATCAAAGATGTAAAACCGTTAAACAAATTGAAAAATTGAAAATGATGATTCAAGATGGACCCAAGAGCGAGAGAGAGATGAGTATGACGAATTTTTTGTTTCTTGCATCGCCATTGGCCATGGTGTTATGATTGTTTCTGTTTGTTTGTTGTTTGTTGTTGTTGATCGATGAAACAAAAACATTGATTTAAAATGATAACCACCTATAGCGACTTGAAAAAATCATCATTTTTTGGAAAAACAATGGAGACAAATTGTCCTGTTGTTTGCTTTTTGCCTGTTTTTGTTTCTTGGCTTTTGTTTCATCATCATCGTTTTGTCAATTTGTCAAAATGGATGCCAAGAAACATCATCAATAATGATGGTGACATTCGAAAATTACGAAAATCTTGTTCGACAATGTTTACATTCGAATCAATAACATTCATGATGAAATGAAATGAAGTTCAAGTTTTTCTTTTTTTTGCAAATTATGAAATATTTCTTCTTTTCTGGAAATAAAAGCTAAAAATAACACCATCAAATTCACCGATAATGATCATCGATCACCTAATGATCGAAACGAAAAACATTAATTAATTTATGACCCCTTTGTTCGGTTTCATTCATTAAAATTTTGTTGTTGTTGTTGTTTTAAAATAACAACAACAACCTGAAAAAAATCATCAATCGATCGGTTCGATGACAATAATTGACAGGTTTGTGTGTTTTTCCAAGGAAAATTTATGAGTTTTCTTCTGGTCATTATTACCTGGTTACCTGGGTTCTTTCAATTTCAACGTAATAAAATCATTTTCAAAAAAGTTAAAACTCAGGTAATGTCCAGAACAAAAAAAAAACACAAAAATCGATTATGATCGAAAAAAACTATCATTTTTGTGTTAAAATAGTCGTTGTTTTATTACCTGACATCATCATCGGTTAACCGAATTTGAAATTTTGATTTCCAATCGAATAAAAAAAAATGTTATCGATTTGAAATTCGCGTGTGAATTTGAATGATGTTTTTCTTCTTTTTGTTTCTTTTTGAATAAAAATTGTTGTTTTGATCTGGATCAAACAACAACAACAACAAAAGCTTTATGGTTCATCAAAAACGAAAATTCTGAATAAAAAAAAAATCTATTTTCACACACACAAACACAGGTAATGAACCAAATGATGATGACCGAATCATAAAGAATTTTGCCTGAAAAAACTTTTATGGCCCTAGCCTTTATGGCCCTTTTTTTCTGGGAATCACATTTATTGCATTTTTTCATTTCATTTTGACATACCTGGTGTGTTTATATGAATGAAGATCATCATTATCTATTTTTTGTTTTGTTTACCTGCAAAAAAATAATCATAAAGTTCCAGTAGCCAAATATATTTTGTTGTTGCTGTTGTTCCATCATTATCATCCCTTCCATTCATTCATTCATTCGACGATAATGATTTGGTCATCATTATCATCGACCGAAAATGGTCGAAAAGAAACTTTGGGATCGAAAAATTTTTTATGACCACCATCAAATGATAATGATGGTCATTATCACCACTATGCTGCATGTCATATATGAACATTACCTTTTCTGTTCATTCGAATTATCGAATGTTTTTTTTCGCGGAGAGAATTAACTTTGTGAATCGGTTTCTTCCATCAACGATTCTGGTTTTTTTAATGGTTTTATTGATGGTAGTTTTCGACCATAAAACACCAGATGAACATCTGACGATTTTTTTGTTGTTGTGTGTGTTCAGTGTGTGAATTATTCATTCAGTTACCCAGATTTTTTTTCATAATGATCATCATCACAAAATACGCGGAAACAGTAAAACAATAAAAAACAAAAATATGAAAAAGTAAAAACAAAAAAAAAAAATATAAATAAAGATATAAACAACAACAACGATGATGATGATTATCAATAATCACTTGGTTAATAACAGAAATCATTCATTTTTTTGGTTTTTTGTTAAATGAAATGAAAGGATTCAAAGTGTTAAATAAGACACTAAACATTAATTTTACGCCCATGTTTTCTTTCTTTTGTGTGATTCATAAAGAAGAAAAAACAACATCAACTAAATACCCGAAGCTAATTATCTCGAGAAAAGATGTTTTATTATTTTTTCAAGGTGTGTGGTATACATGTGTGGAAAATTTGCAAATTAATTTTGACCCAAATTTTGACCGTGTGACCGTCCGTTTGCTGGGAAATTTCTCTAGTTTCCGATAAACTTTCTTCGACTCTTGACATCTCTGATAAATATCAACCTTTTTTTGTTTTGTTTCCAAAATGACATCCAATACAAAGGTCATATATACAGGAAAAATAAGGGGGAGGGAAGTGGGGTTATTACAACCGGTGGTGTAATTCAATGAAATCATCTAACGACGATGACGATAACGAACCATGACGCCCCTCATACATATAACAAATGATTTTTCCCTAATCATCATCATTATCGTTACATTTACCCGAATGAAAAAATGTCATCAAAGAAAAAGTCTATGAAATTTCTTCTTTTTTTTTTGATTGAATGAATTGAATTAAACGGAGAAATACACCGTAACCGTATATAACGAACAACAACAATCGATTCGATAATGATAATGATGATGAAAATGAATTGTAAATTTTTCAATTTGTGAAAGTGAGAAAAAAACATTTTCTTCACGGTCTAGTTTTTCTATTGATTTTGTTTGTGTTTCAGGGGTAATTAACACACACACAACGTGGAAAATAATGTGGACCGAATTTCATTTTTATGTAACCAGGATTTTGTTCTTTTTTTTTACTCCAACCAAAAGCTTTTCGTTGATTGGCTAAAACCATTGTGACATCATCATCACTATTTGTGCGATAAATAAGCCATGCCCAAAAGGTGGAGCCTAATTTTCATTTGATTATCCAATAGTGATTGAAAGAACTTTTTGATTTTTGGCAATCAGATTGTGAAGAGAAAATGTTTCATGAATCGAAAATGATGATTGTCATGTCTGGCCTGTTAGTTTCGGTTAGTTATTCAACAACAAAACACACAACAACCAGGTCACGAATCGAATCGATGAAATTCGAACAAAAGAAACAGAAAAAACGAAACGAAGATAACGATGATCGTACCGTGGAAAAATTTTCATTCCTGAAACAACTGACTAACTGTGTGTGTGTTAATTGAAGAAATTGATACATTTTTTTCAAATTTAACTATATACTACCCTCTCTGTGTGTTAATTGGGAAATTTTCTCCAAAAAATTTTCTTTCCGTAAAGTAATTTCTGTGCTTGCGTATCTGATATCCGAATCTAATATTTTGATTAAACAACAACAAGTGTTATTTCAGTAAAGTACGTGTTTGCTGAATGGTTATTTGGTTGTGATTGGTGTGTAAATATTTGAACATAATCAACATTGGTAATTTGATACTGATACGGTTCTGGAATTGAAAAACTAAACTAAACTAAATCAATAACTAATCACTAATTTGGATAACTTTGTTTGTGTGTGTGACCAATGTTCAACTAAAATTCAACCATAGTTCCATTTCAATTAGCAAAAAATTTTAATTAAAAAAGAAGAAGAAATCTTTCTTCAAACAACAATGACAAACATGCCTACAGCCATCAATATACGTCCATTAACAACAGCAGCAGCATTCACTGGTTATCCATTTCAAGGTAAATTAAAAAATTTTGAAATTCTTTCTTCAAATGATGGGAAATATTCCAGGGGAAAGAGAACCCGGTAGTTTTTTTCTTTCAAAAATTTGATTGGTTTGTTTTCAATTAGTCAAAAAATCATAATTGAAGAAAAACAGAAAAAATCAGAAATTCTAACTTGAACCATATGACTACTGTCTGCTATTTAAATAAAGACCATATGGAAAATATGGAAAATACTTTTTTTCCTCGAAAAAATCACTAACTGAATTGAAGTTTAGCTTTTTGCTTTCTGGCTATTTTGCTTTCTGCTTCAATCATTTCTTACTTAATTGAAAAAACATTATCTAAGAATTTTTCTGGTATTTTTTTCCTTGAGAAAAACAGAGAAAATCCTTATAAATATGTTTGTAAAATCAGTAGAATTTTTCATTTATTATTTTTTTGGTGAAAAAACAAAAAATGTCATCTTATGACGACTTATGCAGTCAAAATAGCCAAACTAATCTATTATCTGCTTCTAATTGGGCTAAACAAGATTTAGAAATTTCATCATTATTAGATGGTGATTTTTGTTGATTTGAAAATTTCAATTTCAATTTAATATCTTTAAATTTTCCCCATACAGGACAAGGACGTGTTAATCAATTGGGTGGTGTATTTATCAATGGCCGTCCATTACCGAATCATATTCGTTATAAAATTGTTGAAATGGCTGCGGCTGGTATACGTCCTTGCGTAATCAGTAGACAATTGCGTGTATCACATGGTTGTGTATCAAAAATCCTGAATCGTTATCAAGAAACCGGTAGCATTCGGCCAGGTGTAATTGGTGGTAGTAAACCACGTGTTGCAACACCTGAAGTTGAGAAAAAAATAGAAGAATATAAACAAGAAAATCCAGGAATATTTAGCTATGAAATACGTGAACGTTTAATTAAAGAAGGTTTGTGTGATAAAAATTCAGCACCAAGTGTTAGTTCAATTAGTCGTGTATTACGTGGTTCATCATCAACAACATCATCTATTGGTGGTGATGGTAGTGACAATGGTCAATCACCAAATCATCATCATCATTATCATCATCGATTTTATCAAACAAATCATGATTCATCAATGGATTCCATATCGATTTCAATGGCTAATCATCATCATCATAATCATAATGGTAAAGATCATAGCATCGATGGTATACTTGGTGGTTCAGGTATGTTTTTTGTTGTTGTTTTGTTTGTTGAAAAATCAATTTATCATAGAATTTTGTTGTTTGAGAAAATGAAAGCAAGGTGAATTTTTTAGTTTGTTTCAAAAACATTGTTGAACTAATTGATTTTCTTCTCTTTGCTTGCTTACTTACCGAATTACTTTTGGTAAAAGAGTTGTCCATATAATTTTTGATAAGATTTTTTTTTAAAGAAAAGTTTTTTCTAAAAATAGTTTCCAGAAAAACGAAACCTATAAATAAAATTTTTTTTGTTGAAAAATACTTAATCTCTTCGACTATTTCAACATAACTGACAGCAAAAAATACTGGACAGATGTGTCAATTTTTTGTTGTTGTTGTCACACGCACCAGACGATTATAGGTCTTTTGTGTGACTTTTATCAAACGAACGTATGCAACATCCATTAACCACACACACACTGTTTTTTCAATGCAAAATTTTTGTCAGAAAAAAGAAAAACTAGTCATTTTTTTCTGTGTTCATTCAGTAGATCCAGATCGAATCAAAAATGAAATGAACAAATGTTTTTCATTAATTTTGTTTTTTCTATATTTAAATTTTATATAGAAAAAAACTTACTTGCTTTGTTATCTGAATGTATTTTTGAAAGGTTTTCCTATTGATTTCCGTGTGATATCAGTGCTAGTTTTGAATGGAAAACGAATAATAATAAATTTAATACGGTCCTCTCCACTGCTACGCAAATGATGATGATTATTGATGCCACATGATAGATTTGCAAAAGTTGGTCGTCGTTTTGTGTGTGTGTGTGTTGAATCTATTTGCAATCAACCTTAACGAATTTTTTTTTGCAACCCAGAAAATTCAATGTAATATAGAATTCACACACAAACAAAGAAAGACCAAAATGATTTTCTGTTCCGTTGCAGTGATTGCTTGATTGTTGTTGGATTGTTGGATCTGATTTTTGATCCAAAAAAAAAACTGTTTTTTGTTGCACGTACTACGTACAGTAAAGTCATTTGAAAATCAAAAAAAAGTTTCTTTTTGGCTTTTTGTTCTTTCATTTCCATTTTTCTGACGACGACGACGACTTTGGTTACGGTAATTAAACCAAACGCATACACACATATATTATCCGATCCCGATCCAAAAACTGGAAAGATCCATCGATCCCTGGTCATGTCATATGGCCACAAACAAGGTCGTGTGTTTCTGTGATTCGATTCGGATTCAAGCGAAATTTTGATCCAAATTTGATACCAAACTGAAAAAAAGTCAAAGAAAAAAATCTTAATTACAAATCAGTCAATCAATCGATTGATTAATTTTTTTTTGATTTAACCGTTTTTAGCACCTCATTAAATGAAAATTTTTGTTGTTGTTCCAAGAAGTTATTAATAGTAACAACAACAACAACAAATTGTCGGTAAAAGATCAAAGAAAAAGTCAAAAAATGAATGAATAATATTGATCAGATGATGATGATGACAATAGAAATCTAAAATGAAATGATCACCACCACCACCACTATCTTACCAATCAGTTGGATATCGATATACAGAAAAGAAAAGATTTTCCCAATCACACAATCGATCACTAAATATCGAACCAAATGAACAAAAAGAAACCAAAAATGATGACCGTAACTTTTGACCTCACACACACACATTGAATATCACCACAAATCATCACCACTTGACCACCGATTGACCGATGACCACCACCAACATCGAAATAGAAAAAGAAAAGAAAAGGCTTCTTTTGTCATCATCATGGTGGTAAAGATCATTGGTATTGATGATATTCATTTCTTTTTGATCTTTGACCGCTCGATCTGCGAGAGAATTGATCCAATAACAATAACGGTTTGTTCCAGCAACAAAAAAATGTTCAATTTGTTGTTGAGAATGTCGTGTGTTGGTTGGTTGGTTGCAATGACACATGTAGGTAATATCGATTGTTGTTGTTGTTGTTTTGGTCAAATTTTATCCAAAAAAAATAATAATATGAGGTGTGAGCCAATTTGGATCAAGTCAGTGTTAAGAAACTTTGCTTTGTTGCGGCTTTTTTTTCTCTTAAAAAACATTACTTTTTCGTGTTTTTTCATTGAAATTTTTGACTTTTGAAAATGTTTTTTTTAATTCATTGTTGTTTTCGTGGTTGACAATGGCCAAACAAATGATCCAGAAGAAATGAATAGAAAAGCCCACCATCAACGATCCAAAAAAAAAATCTGTTTGATCTTTTACCGAAAAAAAACGTTTTGTTGTTGTTGTTGTTTGGTAGCAACGAGAAAAACAAAATTTAATCCCGAAAAAAATAACAATCCGATAATGATTATTAGGTGATTATTATTATGATTGACTTTTGATGATCCACTGCACACTGATGCAGAGTCTATAAATATTTTTAGTTGTGGAAAATCTTACTGTAAAATTGGAAAAACAAGCGAAACATATCAATTAGTCACATAACGAATCGGATAACCGATAATTTTCTTGCTTCTTCGTTCCAAATAAAAAACAAACACAAAGTAAATACCAGTAGCAGTAGTGATGATTTTCTTATCATTTCCAAAAAAGATTGATTTGATTTGCTTACTTGTAATCGTATTATCTGATGGCTGCTACTTAGAGTTTTGTTTGTAGCAGAAAAGATTGGATTATTTTCTTGTTTGTTTTGTTATTTGGGTCGAAATAGTCAACAAAAAAAAAGTAACAAAACCGGATTATCAAATTCGTTTCATGTCTATTCAATCTCCTCATCACGGATATAATTGATTAACTTGATAAGTGAGGATGATGATCAATCAATTCGATAAATAAATCGTAAGGTAAACGTAAACGCGTGCGCGCAATGTGTTAAATGTAAATATTTTCAAAACAATTTTTCCTAATTGGATTAAAATCGCCGCTCAATTTACCTGTGCTAAATTTACCTTTTTTAATTTTTTCTCAATCTTTCCCTTAACGTTTAGTGCGTAGTGATGATGATCCGGATAATTGTGAATCAGATTGTGAATCAGAACCAGGTATACCATTAAAACGTAAACAACGACGGTCACGTACAACATTCACATCGGAACAATTGGATGAATTGGAACGATCATTCGAACGTACACAATATCCGGATGTTTATACCCGGGAAGAATTGGCACAACGTACAAAATTAACCGAAGCACGTGTACAGGTAAATTTAATTTTAAAAGAATTTTTTCGCCTTTTTTCTAATGTTGAATGACCACCACCACCAACAAAAAACTTTGAAAAAATCATTAATCAAAGATATTCTGTAGTTTTTTTCTATGTTTAATCAATTAATAATCTTTCATAGAATAAACAAGAAACAGAAATCTTACCTGTTGCTGTCTAAATAGTAGAAACAAAACAAAAACAAAAACAAACAAGATTGATAAATTGATGATGATGTTTTTGAAAGGTAAACAAATCACCTGTATGTAGCTAAAATGACAAATTGAATTTCTAGTTTTGAGCTAAAAACACACCAACCAACCAATCGATCTACAGGTAGCTAGATTTTCTTTTCAAAGCATCATTACTGTGTGTGTGGTGATGGTGATGATCATAATGATGGTTATTTTGACCATTTTTTGTGGGCGAAGATTTTTTTTTTGTTTTTGTTCGCTGTACAAATATTTGTCTACAAATTATCAAACAACAAGATATGAATTTTCTTCAGGTTAAAGTGTGCTTTTTTTTCGTCCAGTCTTCGAAGAAGATCATAAATTATATGGGATTTTTTTCTTTCTTTCTTTGCCAAATTCTCACTGATGGTTGTCATTGGATAGAGAAAGAGAATAATCAAACAAAACCAAAAAAAAAGACCACCAACCAAACATTAGTTATGTCAACCAACCAACCAGCCAAAAGTAGTTTCTTTTCTGTAAATTGAAATTGTTTGAATTGAACAATTAATCATCATCATCATCAAGGTATTCTTATTGCAAAAAAATTAACCAAGACGCGCCCCAGCCATATTGATTAACCAAGTTTGGGTGCTTATCTTGGTGGTGGTCATCATCATTGATGATTATGATGAATGATTTTTTATCTTCGAAACATCGATTACAATTAATTAATTTTTTACCATTGATTTTTTTCAAAAGGTCTGGTTTAGTAATCGTCGTGCACGTTGGCGTAAACAGGTTAATAGTCAGGTGGCAGCAGCAGCAGCAGCTTCTGCTGCTGCACATGCTGCTGCTGCTTTACAATTTACTGGTTCAAATCATCATCATCATCAACATCAACAACAAAATCCATATCATCTTGATAACGATAATCATCATCAAGAATCAATATCACCAACATCATCAATGTTAAATTCACCACCACCACCTCTTCCGCTACCATCAACATCAACTTCAGCCACAGCAGCCGCTGCTACTAGTAGTAGTTCCGGTTCGATTACAACATATAGTCAGCCTTATTATATTGATAGTTTGGAATTTGGTAATTTGGTTAATAATAATCATAATGGTAATGTTAAACAAGAATCCACTACGGAATGGCAACAACAACAACAAAAACAATCATCATCAACAACAGCAACAACACTATCACCAACGACAACAACAATAACATCAGCCACATCGACAAATTCTTCTTCTTCTTCTACAGTTTCATTGTCGAATCAACAACAACAGCAACCGAATGATGGTCAATTATCGACGAATGATTATTCAAAATCATCATCATTGGCTACAGATTTTCTTTCGATTCATCCAAATCCAAGTTATCATCATCATCCACATTCACATCAACAATATTCAAATTCTCATCATCATCATCATTCATTATTAAATCAATTTGCTGAATGTCAAAAAATATTCAATCCAATTCAAACATCCAATTCGATTAATGATTTTCATCAACAACAACATCATCATCATCATCATCAACAGCCGCATCAACAGCAACAACAACAATACTCGAATCCTATACAACAACATCATCATCAAATGATTGGAAATGGTTCGATTATTAATGATGGATCATCATTATCACCACCAATAACATCTACTACATATCCATCATCAACTAATCATCCGCATCCACAAACATGGCCATCACAATTACATGCAGCAGCTGCATTAACTAATCATCATCATCATCATGGAAATTCTGGATGGCCAACTGCTGCTGCTACTCATCATCCTCATCATTCAGCAGCACCATTTGTTCATCATCCGGGTCATCATGGTGGTGGATCAATTCAATCAACACATTCATACGCAACAAATTCTTATTTTTTATAAATTTTCAAACAAAAAAACAAAACAAAATTTCATTGAAAATTCTGTAAATATTTTTGAATAAAAATTCTCATTTTTTTAAAATCAAAAAATGGTTTTATGATTGTGTTTAAAAGTCGATAGATGGCACCACTAAATCAGCTGCATCGTTTTTTTTGTGATGATGAAGCAATAAAAAGGTTTTTCTTTGCATCGTGATCGTTTGTTTTTGTTGAATTTTTGTTTTGTATTATCATCATGTCTCAAATGAATAGCAATGATCCAAGACGACCAGATCGTATACAAAGATATAAACCATTACCAGCTGGTTGTGTTGGTAGTCCATCCGAAGATCCAACACCTGATTATATGAATCTTCTTTCAATGATGTTTTCAATGTGTGGTCTTATGGTAAATGTTCATCGATGATGATCAATGAGGATTCAATTTGTTAATCATATTATCATTTTGTTTAGATGAAATTAAAATGGTCAGCATGGATTGCATTGTTCTGTTCAGCCATAAGGTACATTTCAATCTAATTTGGTTTTTCGATTTAATTTTTTTTAATTTTTTTCTAGTTTTGCCAATCTTCGAATGCACGATGATTTCAAACAAATATTCAGTTGTTTTATGCTTTCATTTTTGGCTGTTGTAATGACATATCTACAGAATCCATTGCCAATGACATTACCTTTTACAAATTGATTCATCGATGATCAACTCAAAAAAAAATATGAAAATTTCATTTGAAATAAAAAAACTTTTATTAATCAAAAAAATCACCAGTCAAACATTTTATGGCAATAAATTATATTGAGATTTTAAATTGGAAAATGTAAAAGAAGAAAAGAATCCTTTCACTCATTGTTTACGTTTATAAATCATAGTTAGTACCATATGAAATAAATCTTTTGGTAAAATTTTTTCTTCAATTTGTTCAATCCGTGAACAAATATCATGATATTTTTGTTGTTCATATTCAGCGAATATTTTTTCCAAACATAATTCTTTATATAAATTTCGTACAATTTGAATCGATTCTTCCGATTTACAACCATAATGTTGATAAAGTAATTTTCTTTGATTATCATTAGCTAGATTTTTAGCTTGAATAAAAAGCCATGAACATTTTCCATCTTCAATATCGGTACCAATTTTACCGGTCACTTGGGGATTACCAAAACAATCCAAATAATCATCTTGTGCTTGAAAAAAATGTCCAATTTTCAATAGAATTTCTTCCGCTTCTTGATGTACATTTGGATCGGAAATTCCAACCAAATACATTGCCAATCGTATTGGTAATGAAAATGTATAGTAAGCTGTTTTGAATTGTACAATCGTTGCATAACGTTCCTGTGTAAATTTTGAAAAATCTATTGATGACGAATGAGGATTAGATAAAATATCTAAACATTGACCATATGATGTATAACGTGTAACATCATTAAATAATTCAACAATTTTTGTATACATTGGTGATGAACCAAGATTTTGTTTCAATAAATAATGCATTAAACTGCTTAACATAACACCATCGTTGATGGCAATCATACCAACTTCATCCTTTTTTCGAAAAACAAGAACGGGGTTAAAAAACAAAACAAACAAACATTTTCTGGGAGTTACCTACCTTTCGATACCAACAATTTTGACCACGACGTGTTAATGAACCATCCATAATATCATCATAAATAAGAAAATAAGCTTGCAACAATTCTAGACAAAAACCCAAGATACCAATTTGAAGATTTTTTTCTTCACGATTTATCATCAACAATGAATCATCATTCGATGTTGTTGAACATAATTGTCGATAAGCTAACCAACAAATACGTGCACGATTACATTTACCTTTACCAACATTATAATCCATTACTGTTTTTAGCCATTCTTTTGCTTCATTTAATGATTGATTGATTGATTGCGGTAGTTCATCATTATTGATATCATCGATAGCTTTTAAATGTGCTTGTTCATAAATATCATTGAATTCATTCAGATCGATTGTTGTTGATGGTTGTTGTTGGTTCGATGTTTTTTGTATCAATTTATCACCGGGTTTTGTTTGCGTAACCATATTTCTATATATCAGATTAGATTAGATTTCAGAGATTGTTCAATATCAATTCAACAAAAAATTTACCTTGTGGAATGGATCAATAAATTCGATCGAGTATTGATGATTAATTGTGATTTCGATATCGTTGTTGTTGTTGTGGATGATGAATTTTTATCAAATAATTTCGATAATGATGAAACGATCGAACGAGAATTTATACGATGAATATTTCTAGACAGCATTTTTTCCTAATATATAAATAGTTTTTGTTTGTGATGTGTAGTGGTTTCGGTAATGACTAGCGAAAAAGTTTTTTCTCAGGTATTTTTTCCTAGAATGGAAAAGAATTTGTTTGAAAAGTGAATTTTTTTGTTGTTGTTGTTTGAAACGAAAATCAGAAAAATCAAAACGAGATTGACAACGATGACGATAATGATGATAATTCGAAGAAAAACGTTTTTTTTTCTCCAGGTATATTGATGAGATGTTAAGATTAGAAATAGGTCAGACAAGAGTGTGGAGAGAGAAACCAAGAAAAAAAAATCAAACAATCTTTATGAAAAGTGGCTGGTCATCTTTTTGATTGAAAGAGATGTTTGACCTGTTCGAATGATTTGATGATTTTGATGAAAAAAATGTTTATTTATAAAATCCTGAAAGCAAGCAAGCAAGCAACATACCCGAGGATATATTATGTTGGTTTGACTAGTTTTTTTTAATCAAATTTAAATTTTTTCTTTTTTTTCGATCAAAGTTTTTAATGATTTTTTGTTGTTGTTGATAAAGGGGTAGAACCGGTTATCGCATCACATCACATCATCATTATCATTGATTTTTCGGGTTTGTTTTCATCAATTTCATTTTTGATTGAAATTAAAATTATCGAGAAATTAAATAAAGATTTTTTTTGAAAAAAACCTGATAAATTAATTCTGAGGAAATTTTTTTTCGCAAACTTCGAACAAAAAACCCAATCATGACAAACGGGAATGACGGATTTTTTTTTTAAATTTTGTTGATATTATCAGCTGATAATATTCTGAAAAACATTCATAAACAACATTTTATTGTGAAACAACAACATCACGCGTAATATGAAAATGAAAATGGATTTTATTTTTTAACCAAAAAAAAAAAAAAAAACAATTTTTAATTGAAAATTAATTTTTTTCAACAGAAAACAAACAAACAAAAAAATTCGATAATGATTTGATGATGGCAATGGCAATGATAATGATGATGATGATGATCAGATTTACTCGAATCACAATTTATTCACGCGTTGTTTTTCGTTTTCAAAAAGTAATCTTTGGTGATTTTAAACCGGCCCAAAATTCTTTAAATTCTTTAACAACAGCACCTCTGTCAAGTGAATGAAGAAAAAAAAGAAAACGAAAAATTAATGAAAATTTCCATTTCATTTCACTTTTTATGGTTGAATTGAGATCTTTTGGTCTTTTTGTATCTGATTGTTATCAAACCAAATCAACCAATTGTGGTATTGTCAATTAGACTGTGACTCTATGTGAATGTTCAATGTTATGTAAAATTTTTTTTTACCTAAATATAACATCACCCGTAAATTTATCCGGTGCAGTCCAGGTCAATGTAATTGAACTTTTAACATTATCATTTTTATGTGTTATGGCCGTCTATTTTGATAAAAAAAATTTGAAAAAGTTCAAGTTTTTTTTGAAGAAAATTTAATTGGAAAAACATTGAGAAAAAACTTACAGCAGATCCACAGGTAATTTCTTTGGATTTATCATTTTTAGTAAATTTACCCAACATATCATTTGAACCGGGTTTAGTTGCATACAACATAAAACCTTTAAAATCACCACCCGATATGGTTACAGTAGCAGTAGATTTATCTTTTTTTGTGGCCGTTATCTGATATGGTGATGGTGTTGTTTGTGCTTTATGATCTTCATGTTTTGGTGCAGTTGCTGAACATTTTGGTGCACCAGTTGGATATGATTCAACCAACATTATAACCATAACCATGATGGCTAAAATTCCCGTAAATTTTTTCATTGTTGGTGGATTTTCCTCAAGTCAAAGATGAATGTAAAGAAAACTTTTGAAACGATGTTGACTAAACGATCAAAATCTGTCAACTGTTTTATTTTAAATTAGTTTCTTTAATTTTTTTTTCTCAATTAATTAAGAAAAGTGAAATTTCTCAACGAAAAAATTTTTATTTTCAATGATAAATTGTGTTGAAACACAAACAAAAACAAAACGAAACGAAAGCCAAAAAGCAAATTGTGATAGAAAAAATTCCCTTAATAATCTTAATCTTATCAAATTTTGTTCGCGATTTGTTTATCCAGGAAAAAAAACGATTTTTTTGCTGAAGAAAGTTGACACAATTTCTTCATCGTCACTTTGGATTTGTCAATATCGATCCGATTTATCTTTTGATGTCGTGGTCGTTGATTGAGATTTTTTTTTTCTTCGATGATGATTGAAAGTCCATTGAAAAGTTCATTTTGTTTTTTTAATGATTACAAAATGAAATAACCTGTTTTCCACATCATGTTTTCTTCATATTTCGAAAAGAGCCAACACTTTCGTTTTTTTAATAAATATTCATTTCATTTGAATTTTGATAATGGAAAATGATTAGTTTTTTTCTTGCTGTAATCAGCATTTTTTTCATTGAATCATTTGATTTCAAAAAAATAAAAAATCGAGAACAGCAATGTAGTCGTTTGTCCAATGATTGTCATTGAAATTGTTCCAATTTTATTTTCAAGTAAAACAAAAAAAAATGACAATAATAATCATGTCAATTATTAGACTTTGAAATGGGAAACATTTTTGAAATCGGAAAAAATTCAAAATTCTCGATTCAAATTTTTTCTGGTGACAACATTGTCTATGTACAGGTCACTGACACACATGGAAATCGGCGTGTATTCCTAAAAAAACATCTTAAACGATACGCGTGCACCGAGAAAAAGACGATGTTTTTGCACGCATTATTTTCGACACTGACAACATGTTCGAAATTCTTAGATTCTGAAAAAAATTTCAATTTTTTGAATTTGGTTTTTGAAAGTAAAAAAAAATATGTTTCGTACAACAACACATTATAAATATTGGATATTTGATGATGAAGATGAATTATATAGACGTCGTCAAGAAGCTAATCATCGTTTTATTCGTGATAATATCACATTGATTAATGTAAAGGTTAGATTTTCATCAATTTTTTGATTCGAAGATTTAAATTTTTTGCTGTTTCTCTATAGCCAGATGAAGTACCAAAGCATTTCCTAACGATGGCCGAAGAAGTTGCTCTGGTTAATTATTACCTAAGTTTATTAAGAGATTTTTGTCGCCGATTTAATCCACCCATACCCAAATATGTTACGGTAAATTATTTCTTTTTTATTTGACTTTTTGAATTTCATTGAAATCTTTTTGTAATAGAGTACATCGATACAATATTTCAAACGTTTTTATCTAAACAATTCCGTTATGGAACATCATCCAAAACATTTAATTGTAACATGTGTATATTTAGCAGCAAAAATTGAAGAATTTAATGTTACAATGGATCAATTTGTTAAAAATGTTAAAGGTGATCGTGAAAAAGCAGCTGAAATTGTATTGAATAATGAACTTTTATTATTACATAAAATCAATTATCAACTGATAATTTGGCATCCATATCGTTCGATTGAAGGATTTTTAATCGATATCAAGGTAAAACCAAAGGAAAATTTTTCATTTTTTCAATTGTTGTTTCTTTTTCGGATTAGACTCGTTGTAAATCATCATCATCAAATCAAGATCCGGAACGTTATCGTCAACATATCGATACATTTATTGATCAATGTTTTCTTACCGATGCATTTTTTCTTCTCTGTCCAAATCAATTGGCATTATTAGCCATTATTTATGCGGCCGATAAATTTGGTGAATCAATGGATGAATATTTACAGATATTATTTGGCGATAATAGTTCAAATGAAATCGCGTTTCTTCATAAATGGATGATAAGTATGTTATGATGATCTTTGTTTTTCTTTTTGTTTTCTGTAATATCTTTATAATATCTATGTAGAGACCAATGATTTGATAAGAAAAATTGAACAACCAGCCAAAAATTATGTCAAACAAATTGATTCAAAATTAGAATATATACAGAATAAATTAATGTCATTGAAACGAACTGGTTCATCATCCAAACGGCCAATCGATTCTGATGAAGAAGAAATTGATGATGATAATGATCAAATCCAAGATGATGATGATGATGATGTAGTGATGGAAAATGATACAACCACCATTCCATATGAACGCTATTCATCACATTATCGTTCTGCACAGGATCGAAATGAACAAAATATTTTGGAACGATCCAATAACAAACGTAATAAATAATCGACCACCATCAAACAACCAGTATTATTATGAATGCAACAGGTGGTCAAGAAATTTTTTTACCTGTAAAATTTGTGATGAAAAAGAATTTATAAAATATGAAATAATTTTAAAGAAAAATAATCAAAACCTCAATCATTGTTGGTCGATTACGTTTTCGTTGTTCAATACAATATTTGGCTAAAATTATTAATTTTGATGCTAATTGTTCGTTCCATCCATCATCATCATTATTATTATTCAAACATTTTTGATCGAAAATTTGTAAAAATTTATTGCGATCAATCCATTGTTGATATTTTTGTTCAATCAATTCGATTAGATCGATATTTCGATCATATTTTATCGGTTGTTGTTGTTGTTGATCAAATTCCTCACCAATCATTTCATCAATATAGGATACCATATCAGATTCATCACGATTTGGATCAAATGCAGCCATACCTGTTAATAATTCCAACAGAACAATACCAAAACTAAATGTATCCATTTTTACGGAAATATCACCACGAAATGCTTCAGGTGCCATATAAACACTAGTACCTTTAACAGTTTTGGTAACAATAGTTGTTTCCCAATTTGAATTTGAACCTTGTCGTACCAGACCTAAATCACCTAATCTTGCACGAAATTGTTGATCCAATAGAATATTTGCACTTTTTATATCACGATGTACAAATGGTTTATTTGTATTTGAATCAATATTATTCGAATAAGTATGTAGATAAACAATTGCATTGGCAATATCATTGACGATTCGTAAACGTTCGACAAATGATAATGGTCGCTTCGTTATTGGTTGTTTCGGTTGTGCAAACATATAATTATAAAGTGAACCATTAGCCATATATTCAGTTATTATACAAAAATTTGGACCATCATCGGAATAGCCGAATAATTTAACAAGATTTGGATGACGAAAATGATACATAATATTCAATTCGGAAAGAAATTCTTGACGATTATTATCATAATCATTATCTTGATTTTCAATCGATGGTAATTGTTTAAAGCGTTTAACAGCTACAAATTTTAAATCCAAAATATTCATACGAAATGGATTCTGCAATAATAATGCTGTTGTTGAACAACGAAATACTTCACCAAATGAACCTTCACCTAGCTTTGTACCACCATCGTTGATGGATTTTGATGAAAAATTTTCAGTTGCATTACAAAGATTTTGATATGAAAATCGAATGAGTGAATCCATTGAATTATCATTGATCGATGTATCTTTTGGACAATCATTTATTGTTGTAAATGACATAAGTGATTGATTCGGTGCTGTTGGTCTTGCCATCATCGACATTGTTGTTCTTGAACGATAACCAGGTAAATCTGTCCAATTTTGTTCTGCTATTTTAACAACATTATCATCATCATTATCTGTCGATGGTTTATGTTGTTGTTGTATAGAATTTCGAATCAAATCAGCAGCACGAACAAGACCAGATTGTTCAAGAAATTCGATAACATCACCAATTGTATGTCGTCGACGGCCATATGTTGACCAATATTGTATCATTGCATTTGCAGCACTACAACCTGATCGTTTACGTTGTTCATCTAACAATGCAATATCAGTTGTACGAAATAAAAGTTGTTCAGGATGATCAGGATTTCGAATGATTGTTGCCAATAATTTCCAATTATCTTTAATATCCAACAGACCAATTAATTGATGAATAATTGTTGCTGGTAAATGACGAAATTCATTTGAAAATGATAATGATTCCGGTACATTGATCATTCTTATTCGAATCTTATTGATTCAATTGTGTGAAAAACAAGGCAAAATTTAACACATAATGTGAAGTGAGTGAAGAAAAGAAATTGAAAACAAAAACAAAATTCTTATCATTCGAAATCGGCAATCAAGGATGGCAGGTTTTTTCTGTTCTGTTCAAAGAAGGGTGGAGCCATCCTTTTTTTTGTTATTCGTTCGAATTCGAATTTTGGAAAGCTTTTGAATATTCGAATTCAAATTCAAATTCAGATTTTTAAAAAATTTTTTCGAAAATAGTTTTTTTTGGTTTGTGATTTTTATTGATTCATGTACGATTATCATCATCATCATCATTGTCACTAATATCATCATCATCATCTTCGTGATCATTATATTCGACATCAATATCCGAACGACGATGTTTTCGCTGACGTTTTTTCATTCGATGTGATGAATATTTTCGTTTGGTTTTCTTCGATTTAATTCGATGACTTTTACGATATTTTTTTCGTCGTTGTTTTTCTTGATCATCGTCATCATCATCCTCACTTGTTGTTGTTGAATCGTTTTGAAAATTATTTTGTAATTGAAAAACGGTCCTGGTATCAATGTGATATAAACGAATATAAAGACGAAATGTTGCCAATATAAGACCAATTATATTGGATAAATGATAATCAAGTAGATAATTTTTTTCACTATAAAAACTGCGAATACTTAATAGAACAATTGTACCGACAATATATAATGCCAAAAGATAACGTTTTTGTCGTCGAAATAATAGATAAAATCCGGCCATCGATGTTGATGCAACATTACCATACAAAAATATTTTTGCCGTCAATAATTGTTGTTGAATTTTGGATGATGAAATAGCCTGTTTGATTTTATCTTTATTATCCGAATCATCCTCATCATAATTGATGTGTTTATCATCATCTAAATCATCATCATTATCAACCAGATCTGTATAGATAGCAGTCAAATCTAATTGATATATCCATAATGAACAAAAAATACTGGCAACCATTGCAATGAACAATAGACGATCGGTCCAATGTTTCCAATCAATTACCAAATTCATTTCGTTATTTCTTGTTCTGGTTTGACCAATATTTTTTGAATCAAACTTATTCCATTTAAATATTATATTTCCCGAAAATTCGATTAATTATAATTAGTTTATTTATTCAATCATTATAAATTTACAGAATAATAAGATATAATTAGAGAAAAAAAGCAAATTACCACAAATCAATCGATACACAATTTAACTAAAATTATTATTATCATCATCATTGATCAAAAATTGAACTGAATCGGTGATCAATAAATTTCATAATCAATGGGGAAAAGAGAGAAACAAAACTCGTGTGTATTGGTGTTTGGTGGTATTGTATACAAAAAGTAAATAAAATTGTAAAACATTTTTCAGATGTTGATTGATTGATTGGGGTGTATAGTGTTGTTGTTGAAAAAAAGTGTCACTCAGATTTGCTATTTCAAACGATGATTAATTAAATTAATCCCAATGTCAAATTGATTCAATAAAATATAGTTGCTGTTGTCGTTAGTTAATTTTTCTCTTCTTTTTTTTGGTTTCATTTGTTTCGTTTATTCCGGGTATATCACATGAAATGTTTTTAAGCAAGATAATTATATGTATCTCTTGATCCTTCTGATCGTTCCAGATATTCTTTTTCAATCAAAACTTCGACACATTTCTAAATATATGTTTTTTGAATTAAATAAATAAATAAGATTAGAATGAAACAAATGATAAATCAATGTAATTTTTGTAAATACCTTGATAACATTAACATTTGGTTTGAATCGTAATGATAATTGATTAATTACTTCGGCTAATAATTGTTGATGTTTTAATGTTCGACGCATTTTCATTATACGAACAATAGCAGCCTAAGATTAAAATTTTGAATAAAATCTTTTCAATTACACTTTTTTTTGAAAAACATACCTGAATAACTAATTTACGATCTTCTTCAATATGTTTATGCGTTTTTTCCTGATCTTGGCGCATTTCCGTTTTCATTGGTGCATTGATATTGACACGATATTTTTTATTTTTATATCCCAAATACAACGAAAGACGTGTATGTGGATGTAGAATAAATTCATCACCATTACCACCTGTAGATGAACAGCTATTTGTATCGGTGGACATTGCTGTTGAATTGTTATTTGCTGTTGATGATTCACGTATCATCGACGATGGACCGACCGATTTATTGAATGCTTGACTATTATCACAACTATCATTATCAACAACACAAGATTGATCACAATCGGCCGGATTAGAAATGGCCAATAATTTTGTTTTGAGCAATATTTGCAAAACTTGATGTAGAATATCTTCTTTAATTTCGGTAATATCATGTAGTTGTTGTACGGTCAGATTATCAGTAGTATTGTATTGTAATAGTACGGCCATTTGATAAGTTGATGCCTACCAATTGCAAGGAGAATTATTTTCGTTTTTTCAACAACAACAAAAAAATTCAAAATTACCTGGAAAGTATAACGACTTTTAAAACAATTGGCCACTAATTCACCTTTGGACATACTATATATCCAAAGTAATTTTCGTCCACTATGTTGAGCACTATAGAATTTAGTGAAACGATTAACACATTGTTCCAACTAGAATCAAAAATGAGATTAGTAAAAATTTAAACGAGAATTAAAGATTACCTCATTTGGCAGAGTAAAAGAAAAACTTTGTTGAAAAGGCCAAGAACCAAAACTTAACACTTGTATGGAAAAATCGACTGGAACAAAAATGAATTTCAATTACAATTTACAATAAACCAAATTCAAAAAGTCAACTTACTATCAAGTGCTTCACTAGATTCGCCAAGATATTTTTTAAACAATTCATTTAAATCTTTACTTAGGCCAATATCCTGAAACATTCGTTGCAATTTGGACGTATATTCGAACCCACAAGAATGCTAAAATGTTGAATAATTGTTGAAAAAAATAATAAATTGAAAAGAAACACAAAAATGATAGCAATTCCATTTTACCTTTAATTTCGAGATCATACTAGCTTCGGCATCATCACTTGCCGACATATGTTGTACAAGACGTTTAGCCAACATTTTACTATAGAATTTTTGAAATACATCTTTATCTTCAATGTATTTGAATACAATCATCTATTCACAACAAAAAAACAGATTAAAATTTGTAAAAATGAAAAAAAGATTCGTCTACTTACCACCTGATTTAATGTTTCTTCAAGCTCGTTTTCTTCGTGTATTTTCGATGTCTTTTTCAACAATAAATCACAATATTTTGCAAGTAATTCCGGTGATTTTGTTGAATTTGAATTATCAGTAACTGCATTTTTATTGATAAATTTTCCACATGCTTTATCCAGTGCAGCAACAAAACCCGAATCATTCAGAAAAGCATCCTGTACTAATTTGCTAAATTTTTTATGCACAGCTAATATTGTACTGACATAGATTTTCGGATCTTGTACAGCAATTTCATTACATTTTTCAATAGCACCAAGACCTTGATGTGTAATATGTGCTTCGAGACGATTTTTCAATTCACCAAGACCATTCGGTATACGCATTACAAGCTGATACATTCGTCCAAGATCTTCATTTTTATCATCATTCAATAGATTTTGAAATTCTTGATGAAATTTTTCCAAATGATCTTCAATCAATACCCGTTCACAGGTTTTCATAAGTAATCCTAATGTATTTTTATGTAAATAAAGCATAATTCGTCGATTTTCTTCCTGAATTCTTTGTTCGGCTTTTTTCATATATTCGGTGACAGAATTTTTGGCCAAAAAATTTTCACTTTCCATTCGATAAAATCGTTCAGTATCAAGAAAAAATTGTACCTCAAATGCTTGCTGATAAACTGAAAGATTTGGTCCTTTCTGATGATTATCCGATTCATTGATGCCAAGTTCAACTTGAAAATTTTGAAAAAAATGATTAAAATAAACATAACAAACAAAACAGAAAAAACTTACCATAACATCCCATAACACCACTGATGAGACTAGTATTGATTGTTTCACCATTTCGTTCTTTTTCAATCAATTTCAACACTGCACTAGTAACCTGTTGGTTTAATTTGGAGAATAAAACTTCACGCCAGGTAACCAATGCTAATTGATATATTTCATAAATATCTTTATGACCTTCATCACATTCACGTTTTACCCAATGACGATTTAGATAGGCACATATACCATTCAATACACGACTTGAAAATTGATAATCTTCCCAATGTTTTGTATAGAATCGAAGAACTTCTTCATCATTTAGATCACGACCATTCTATTTAAATTCAAATTCAAATAATCATTGCAATTTACAAAAATTAATCAATGAATACCTCAAGCAAAGTGGTAAGATAATCTTGAAGAAAACTACGAATTCTTTTATATAATTCATAACCGACAAATTGTGCACCACTGCCGCTACTATTATTTCCTCCACCACCATTATTCGTTATTGGACGACGTAAACGTTGATGTGATGATGATGACAATGATATTTGGCCACTATTCGATGATGATGAGCCAGCATTACTGGCTAATGAACTAAAATGAGAATTATTTGATGATAATGATGATGATGATGTTTGAACCGATGTACAATAATTATAAACATGACTATTTTAAAATTGAAAAAACAAAATCAAAAATCATTCAATTGACAAAAAGGATAAACTTACGTATAAAGTTCCATATAACGTATTTTAGACATTCCTTGATTTTTATGTTTATAAACTTGTTCAATACCATTTCGTAAATCATCCCAAATATTATCCAATTCTGTTGTACGTGGTATTGTTGTTGCGGATGTCGATGATGATGATGAAGCCATCATTATTATACCATTATTATTTGCTGCGTTTGGATAAAATTGTGATGTCGATGATGATGATGATGAGAATCGTTGCTGATCAATAAAATTTCTTGATGTTGATGGAATAGGTTGTTGTGGAGAATTATTATCTGATGATGAGGATGATGGATATGAAGCCATTTGTGTTCGAAGAAATTAATTTTTCATCAAAATTCAAAACAAAAACACATTTATCTTATGAGTGAGAAGAGAGCAGGGTAGAAAAAAATTTAGTCGAAATAGTCGATACGAATCGAACACTAATCAAGAATTCGATTTTTTTTTTGTTGAAGAATTTTTCAGAGATCAATCAAAAAACACCACACAATGAGACAATGAAAAAGTGGAGAGAGAGAATTGAACCTCAAACACACACAGAAAAACAAAAAGAATTCTTTATTTCAATTAAAAATTCTTAATTAGAAGAAAATTAAAACAATCAGCGACCAAACAAACAAACGACGACGACGTCGTTTTTTTGTATAATTTATCTCAAGAAAGTTTGTTTTTGTTTTAATCGCTTTTAATTTTCTTATATTTTTTCGATGGCTACGAAGACGACGACGACAAAACACGCAACCACCATCATTACACCAAACAAAGCAAAGTATTTTTTGTTTTGCCTTGTTTCTTTCTTTCTCGTTCGCTTCTCAAATCAACTTGACGACTCGAATGTCTGCACTTTGCTTTGTGTGATGAATGCATGTGATATTTAGCCAACCAAGTAGCCAAGTCGCAATAATAAAAATGTTGAGGATGATCAAGGAGGAGGAGTGGATGAAGCTCATTCACTTGTTCCATGAACAACGCACATAACGTAAAAAAATTTACGAAAAAACAGAAAACACTAATGATGCTGATGATGGTCATAATGATTGTGACCAGCATCGATACTTTTGAAAAAAATAGATAATTGTGGTATTGAATGTAAACGTATGATAAACGTAAGCACTATCCGTTTGCTATTGTGACTATAAACGTTATTTTTTCAAAATCCGAAAAATTGTTTTCATTATACAATGCTACTACCTCTCCACTATTAAAAAATATGAACCACTACTTTTCGAATTTTTTTGAATGGTGTATAAAATTTCACTTGTCATCATCATCATCGTGATTATCATTATCTTCATCGATGATCGGATCATATTTCGACAAAGATGATGGACAAAAACCAATCAAATTGGCCAATTTGTTTGTTTATTTGTCAAAATCGAAATTGTGAACAATTAAAAAGAGACAAACAAAAATACGGAACAAAAGTAAAGTCAATCCGAACAATAATTGCATCAATGTTTTTATTTCAAAATCAAAATCGAAAATTATGACATGACATATGAATCACGAGAGAAAACAAATGATGATAATAAACATTATTTTGAAGAAATCATCATAATATTCGAATGACGCCATTCAAATTATAAATATTGTTTGTTTGTTTATTACGGTGAAGATTTGTACATTTGAAAACGTCACATCAATTGGGATTCTGTTGTTTTAGTTGCGAAAATGAATTTATTTTCGATCAAGAAATGAAAATTGGCATCATCCTCAGAAAAAGCAAAAACCAATGTCAATGTCTTTGTTGGGCGCCCAACACAGTGATACCTTGATTAACAACTGGATGCTGTTGGTTAAAATTGTTATTGTAGGCTACGTATTTTCTTTTTTGTTTTGCATTAATAATGTGCGTAGCAAGAAAAATTAACCAAAACAATTTAATCAAATTTAATTGAATTTGAAAAATCGATCAATACATAATGCCTGGGAATGGATTACGAAATTTCAAAATTTACAATTTTGTGAATAATAATTTGAAAGCAGTGTAATGTCCGACCACAGTTATAGTCGAAATTCAGGACGTAATTCAGGTAGTGGTGGAAATCCAATTTATTCTCATGAAAAAAGTTTAAAAAAATCTTCAAATCGTTCAACGACGGCCACGGCAAAAAGTTTGAATAAAATGATAAAAAAATCATCCACATCAACAGCAACATCATCAACAACAAATCTAAGTAGCAGTGGTATTAGTAGTAGTTATAATAGTAATAATGCAAGTGGAAGTGGATACAAAACAACATTCATAGATAATGCAACCATGTTTTCATCAGCTAAAGCCGGTAGTAGTAATAGTGGTGGAAAGGTGGACATTGATCCAAATTTTATTAATCAAATATTTGAACTACAACAACATCAACATCAACCATCGACAAATAATCAATCAACGGAAATGGATTGGATGAATTGTAAGGCAATTAATCTTGGTGAATCAACAATAAAAACATCGTCATTGGAGTTACAATCAAAATATATCGGCAGGGATTTAGGAATCAACAAATCAACACCAACAACAAGTAGTAAATCAAAAAAATGTTAACCATCAATGAAAATAATAAAAAATAAATTTATTTAGTTTTCATGAATGTTACCCCCATTTTTTCCAACAAAAATGAATAAAGACCAGGGACCAGAGAAAAAATAAAATACTAAAATAAAATCACACATTTGATCGAATCCAATCAATATATTGGGTAACTCTAATTTTTTGGAAGCAAGAGAGTGAGAGAAATTCAATAAGAAAAAATTCGATGATAGATACCTTGTATAAACACCTGGATAACCAGCCTGTGCACAACGATTGCCAAATGAAACAATACCTATGATTGTCCAACGTCGATCTTGATCTGGTAACATTAAAGGACTTCCTGAATCACCCTGTGTAGTGTTTGTTTGTGTGTAGGTAGAACGGGTTAACGAAATTCAAGTTAAATTAAAAAACAAACTTACCTGACAAGCATCTTTACCACCTTCCACAAAACCAGCGCAAAGAAAATTTTGATTAATTGGTTGAAAATAACGTTTATCACAGTCATGATTATCCCAAACAGGTAATGATACTTGTTGTAATCGACCACTTTGTTGGCCACCATATTTTGTGGTTCCCCAACCGATAACAGTGGCCATATAACCAACAAGATTACGTGAATGAATCGATGATTTCAAATCGGGTAAACAAATTGGCCAAACAGATTCGGGGACAAAACGTATATTACGATCTAGTCGTAATAAGCAAAGATCATTATAAAAACCATTACGTTTAAATTCTGGATGCTGCATAATGGTTATAACATTGAATGTTTGTTTATCCATTTCATTATCCTTGTTATCATTATTTAAATCATGTACACCCAATTTAACCAGTAAATTTTCACGTGGATATAGTTGACCACGTTGATCCGAAAGACAATGTGCTGCTGTTATAATCTATAATATAAAAGTGTAAAATTATAACGGGGAATTTTGCAACAAAAAACTTACATGATTTTGATTTATGATTGCACCACCACACCAATATTTCATACTACTTCCTTTTGTTGATAAAAATATTGCCGCCTACGTAAGAAACGAAAACAAGATGTGGTTGTCATTCGTAATGTGATGCTTGTTGTAAAAAATATTTATTTTTATTAAAAAACTTACAGCCCAAGGCCATTGCCCGGGTAATGAATCTTCACCGCCAACAATTCTTGCATCACGTCCAGCTAATCCACAAATATCATCCGGAAATGATGTGTCATTTCCGGATGATGGTGGATATGGCAGAGGAAATTGTGTTGTTGTTGATGATGGTTTTGGTGTTGTTGTTGTCGATGATGATGGAATGAATGATGCTTTTGTAGTTGTTTTTGAATTCCATAATGGACGATTTTGTTGAAATGGTTTCGATGTTGTAGAAATAGTCGTCATAGCTGTTGTTGTTGTTGATTCAACGGAAGTAGAGGTAGATATAGTCGTCGATGATGATGATGGTATAAATATTGGTTCAACAATAGTGCTGGCATCTGGTGATTGATTAATCGATGATGATGGTAATGGTAATTTTGTCGAATTAGTTGGTCTCTATATCAAGAAAGAATGGATGGTTATTACATTTAAAAACAAACAAAAAATTTACTTACAAATGGTCTGATACCATCAACACCTTCGATTGGACAACAAACACCCGGTATAATTAAATTACGAAAACAAACTGATTGTCGAAGAATGGTGAGATCAAGTATTAAGTAAAAACATTTTCTTATATCCGAACATTCACCCGGTGTACCATATGGTGTTAAACAATGATTCGGTGATGATGATGATGATTGACCAATACCGGTTGATGACGAAGATGAAACATTGGATATATTAGCAATAACATTACTGATGGCAGTTGTATTGATACGATTTGGTAATAACCCTGTGTGAGAAATTTTTTAAATTTAAAATTTAACACTTCAAATTTTTAAGAAAAGCATAACTTACATGGTCGTTTTGGTAGAAAAAGTTGAGCAGATATTTGACAATGATAATAATAAATGGCAACGATTAATAGATAAACTGATATTGGCTGACGATGACGATTGAATATCATTGATAATGATGATGATATTACCATCATGATGAACATTGATGATCCAGATGATGAGCAAAACAAATCAAAAACATTGACACCACCAGACACAATATACGATGATGATGATGATTGCATGTGAAGCTTCCATGAATCATCATCATCTTTATTGATTCAATTCAAAAAATATATAATTTTAGATGAAAGAAAACTTGAGATATTTAAGATGTTCGATTGACCAAACAGAGAAAACATCAATAGGTAAAATACGAAAAAGAGAAAATCGATAACATCTCTATTCGATTTCGTCAAGTGAGAGTAAAAATTTTATCGTCGTCTTCGACTTGTTTGACGGCCATGTTGAATGAAAAAACACAACCTGGCCGAAAAAAACCCGAGATTAACCACAAGGATAAAAGAAGATTTATATGAAAAAAAAGAAAATCTAGTTTCCCTTCACATTTTGATTGATTGAACGACCAATCACCATCACATATCGACGAATGAAAAGTGAAAAATCCCCCCCCCCAAAAAAATTAATACAAACAATGATGCTTGGTACGCGCAATGAATTTTATTTACCTATCTGGTTCTCTTTTTCTCTCGCTCATGTTTCTCTCACTTTTTCCTATTTGGTCATCGATGACCTCGATGTAGTATAAATTGCAAGAATTGAATAGAACGAAATACGATGAGAGAAAGTGACCTAAAAAATGAAAAAAACCATCTAGCATTTGGCGAGGATGATGATAAACAGAATTTTTAATTTTTGAAATATAATCCAGGAATATGAATGATGATGATGATTTGGTTATTTTAATATAAAAAAGGGGTTGTTTGTTTGTTATTGTTATTCAATTGATGTATTAATTTTAACGATACGAATTTTTGGTGGATCAACTAATGATACTGTTAAATCACTATCATTGCGTCCACTACCACTTGTAATGGATGTAACACTAAATAAAGTAATAATACGTTTTTGACCAGTAATTAGATAACCACGATCCAATGAATGTTGATTGGCACGTATCATGTGTGTAAGGCCATTTGATTTTAAATAATCAATATTTTGTTGTTCGTCTACCGCTGTAGATTTGATTAATGGTATTAACATTTCTTTAACAATAGGATATTGATGTGGATCTTTTAATTCTTTTGACAATGTATTTATATCATCGATCGATGTTGTTGATCGTATTGGTAGATTATTATTAACACATAAGATTGATTCATCAATTATTATTGCTAATGGTAAACGATCAAATATATCATTTATTAATTCAAATAGGATTTTACCACTTTTTTCACCATATTTACGATTTAATTCGGTAAAAAATTTATTTCGTTGCACATGGCGATATTCATTATGACCACGTATGAGAAAAAATTTATTTGGTGTTAGAATTTTTAATGCCAACAGATATAGGATACTTTCAATACCCATCGGATTAATACCGGTACCATTGACATAATTACCCAAAAAAACATAATTACTTGATAATATTGGTACACTTGTCCACAATGCTCGTTCCATTTTGATCAGATCGGATAGATTACCAACAACATCACCAATAACATATGTTGATGAATTAATGCGCATCAATTTATCTTCACAATCAAATATAGCACGAACATTTTGACAAAGAATTGTTACATAACGTATAAACAGATCATGATTGCTATCAGGACCGGCAAAAAATCCAATTGGTTGATAATTTCGATCGCGTTTAGATGATTGTTGTGCTAATGTAGCAGCTGTTGCAGAATTGAATTCACGTAACATATCTAAAAATGTTGGACCAATCGATACGGTAGAGAAGACATAATCCTGTGAATATTTATTCATTGTCATTTCGCTTCGATCATTACTCAATGCAGTTGATGGATCTTCATTATTTTCATCATCTATGGGGGTGAAATTGAAATTTTAAATTGAAAAAAATCAGTCAACAACAAACAAAACTTGACTTACGTTCCAAAATATTCCTGGCTTCGATACAATGACCAACAGGATCAAACCGTACGCAATGTGAACCATATTCATATGAACGTTCACGACATGCTAGACATGGACCATGACTTTTATCCATCATAATACCTGATGGTGATTGATAATGATGTGATGATTCACTGCGTGAATTACGACGTGATGCAGAAATTCTTGTATCATTACGACGTTGAAAATTTTGGCAAATATGTATTAGTAATGGACTTGATGCCCGACATAATGATTCTATTCGTAATGAATCTTTCGATATTAATTGACGAAAATCTTCAAAATTTAATGGATATTTTATTTGATTAAGTAATTGTTCGGACATGACTGTTGTTGTGTTGAGGTCACGAAATAAACGTTGCATATCCGTTTGATCTAATAGATCATCACGATCTAAATCATAATAACGAAATATAAAACGTAAACGTATCAATATTGTTGGACAACCAGGTTCGATTGAAACAATACCGATAAAGAATTCCTGAAATGTTAGATAACCACAACGATTTGAATTGAATGCCTGAAATAATTGTAGCAATGTATCACATTCTTGAAAATAATCATTTATATAGCTACAAAATGACCAATATGTCATATAAATGGATGGAAAACAATGTTCCAAAAAATCACTATATATTTTGCCAATATCATGTTTTGTAATATGTAATGTTTGGGCCATTGTTTGTTCCATTGTTTTATGTGATTGTTGACGTTTATTGCCAATGATTAAATCTTGTAAACCAATTATGTTAATCAGATTATCAACATTGAAACCAATTTCGGATATTTCTCTTGGTTTTGTTGTTTCAATCAAAAATGATACAAACATTGGTACTTCTGGCCCCCATAAACCAGAAATATTACCAGTAATAGCATCACTAATGTCAATCCATTGTAAATGTTTACTACTAACACAACAACGAAATTGTGCAATACCAGATTCACCTGTAGTTAGTATTTGTGGTTGATTACCACTATCCAGAATAACTAATTGTATTAAACGATAGATAAATTTTTTGGATATTGGCAATTGTATTCGTAATATATGAACACAATTGATACTTTGTACCGGAATAGTTTTCACTAATCTTGGATCTAATTCTGAATCATCTTTTGAAAAGACAATGGCAATACCTTCAGTTGTTGCCATATTCCATGTTTTATCCGGTTGTATTGCAACAAATGGCAGCCATACAGCTGTATTGCGTTCATTAATACTGACCATAATACGACGATGTACTGGACAATAGAATATATACGCAATACAATTGTACATATATTCACCGATTGGTGAACCACTTTCTGGTTCTAATTTGGCAATAGTGAATTCTTTTAATTTTGGTAATTGTGGTAAATCATAGCCATTAAAATCGATTGCCGGCTGCATAACTATTTGTCGTTGTTGCTGTTGTTGTGCTGTTGCTGCTGCCGATGGACCCATACCAATGGATTCCATTGATGAATTGGATGAAGTTGATGATATTGATTTGGATGAGGATTTCATTTTTGTTTTTCTTTCAAGAAAAATTTGATCAAACAAATTTCAACCAGTCGAATTGAGTGTTGATCGTTTAGGTTATTTTATAATGAATTTCGAAACAATTGAATTTAATTCAATTTGAAAAGAATTTCAATTTCATTTGAAATTTTCAATGCTTGATTCGAATATCGAATACATGAGGGGGAGGAAGAGAGAGCTGAAAACCTGACCTCGATCTAGTGATGATAATAAAAGTAATGTTTTATTTTTCATTGTAATCAATCATCAAAAAATGGCTAAAATTTTTCCAGATAATAGAATTAATTATGGATCGAAAAAAAACCAGAAAAAAATGGAAAATGGAAATCAAACAAACTCAGAAAAATGAACCAAACATCCATCTTTTTGGATGATAATTTCAATGACACAAATAAATTCATCTTTTATTATTGTCAAACAAACAAAAACAATCATCAAATATCATCATAATTATCATGATAATGATATTGGGAAATGATCAATTTCAATGATGATATTTGTGTTTGTACATTGATCGTTGTTTGTTGTTTTAACTGTTTTTTGTTTCAATTCGGGTCATTTTGATGATTGATTCACCTGGTGAATATTATTTGATTTTTTTTGAATAATTTTTGTAGAATTTTACAAATTTCATGAGATTCATTTTCAATCTAACCAAGCCACGATCCGCATCCATATCATCCATATTTGTTTGTTTGTTTGAAAGAGAAAGTTTTTTCTTTATTGATGAAAATATGGTAATGGCGGTAACAATATTGTCATCCGTACCATCATCGACTCGACCATCATCATCATCATCATCATCGATGCAATCGATACCGATCAATACTAATCAACAATCGATTGGTCAATGGCAATTTTCGGCCATTACTATTTTATTATTTAGTATTCTATTACTATTTGGTTGTGGTTTTAGCCCGTCATTACAGATTTCATTTGCACCAAAATTGATTACACGTTTTTGTTATAATTCACCAAATTTATCAACAATCAATGTATATTTTTTCAATGTTTTTTCACTTCCTTTACTAATATGATATTTATACCTATTTACCTGTAGAGTCAATGTGTCCTATGTAATTATTATATGTTTGATGCAACGGTAAATCATTTTAATTTTCTTTAAAAAATTTTACTAATTAATTTTTCAATTAGGTTCTTGGATGTACTGGATCGGTATGTTTTTGAAAAACTTTATTATCGTTAATTTTTTTTTGCCAATGTTTTCAATTACAGACAGCATTGACAATGAATATAACGGCAACACAGGCATTTTGCGTTATTTCACAATGTTTAGGTGTAAGTTTTTTTTCGTTTGAAATCAAAGCAAAAAATTTTTTGTTGATTAAAATAATCCCTTTTTAGCAAGTAAGACAACAGCCAGTATTTTTGGGACGTCGTAAGCGAGATTCATCGAATGATTCACCGTCGATGATGATTGATTCGAATGTTTTAAAAAATTCCACTATTTCAACATCACCTGCCGATGAATATCGTATTGAAAAAGAAATTGAAGCCGATATTGTTCCCGATGATGATCTGGATGATGATAACGATAGCATCGATAATGATGATGGCTATGAAATTCAATAACCACTAAAATGAGGAGCAAATATTATCATTAATCATCCACTAACCAACTAACTAACCTGACATTTCCATTATATTTTTCACCCAAAAAAAATTCATTCCCAACCCTGTTTTATTTTCAAAAAAAAATTGAATTTTTTTTCAAATAATTTTTGTTATTAAAAGAGAAAATTTTGTTTCTGTTTTTCCTCCGTTGTTTTTCAGTTTTGACCCTTTTTTTCTCTGGTTGAAAACAATGCAAAACAAAAAATTTGTTTGAAAAATATTTCGGTTCAATGAATTTTCGGGAAATAAAATGGTTGACAGAATAATTGGTTTGTTGTTTGGTTATTTCATGATCATTTCATCATTTGATCAAATCATCAGCATTCGAATGATCGTAATCAAGATGAAATTTCAACAAATATTCCTATCCTCAATATTATTTATCAATCTATTTCAACATTATATGTCTTATCCAATGGTAATTAATAACTAATTTTAATTTGATTCAACAAATTATTTCCGTTTTTTGCTTTGTGTTTCAGCCACAAATGAGAATATGCATCAAATCGATTGATCCACAACGTTTACCAAGTCAATGTATTTATTGTAAAAGTCGTACATTTCCAATTACTGTTCGTATGTGTACCGGTAATGTATGTTTTTCCGGAAAAAAATTACTTATTATTTTTATATTAATTTGGTTATAACTTACTAAAATTTAATTAACTAAAATCGAAAAATTAGTCATATCTACCAGCAAGAATGACATTGAATGAAGCATCTTGTTTAATAACAACTTGTCGTAAGGTAATGTCTATGTTTATGTTGCAGTTTTAAGTATTATTAAAACTAATTAATAACCAAATTAAATTTATCAAATGCAGCAATTACCAAGATATCCACCGGAACCATATTCCTATTTACCACGACCAATGGCTAATAATCATAATCAATTTAATAAACCAAATAATAACCATAATAATGATGAATCAAATAATGATGATAACAACAACAATAATGATGAGGATGATAATGATAATGGTAATGGTAATGATCAAACAAATCACGATGATAATGGCAACAATGGTGGTAATATGATTGGCTATCATCGACCACCATTTCTCAATAATAATGGCAATGGTAAAATACGTAAACCGGCAAAATTTTTTCTTGGCAAACCACAAAAAATTCAAACATCAAGTAAGTTTTGATTGATTTATTGATTTGATTGAGAAAATTTTTTTCAAAATTAGTTCGACCATTCTCACTATATGGATGAAAAAAGACTTATTACAGAAAATTATCTTTTCCTAACAAAAAAAACTTGAATAAATGATTTCATCAACAAAAAAACCCAAACAAAAATTTATTACAACTACCTGCTGCAGCAGCAGCCGCCGCATCAATTTTTTTCATTTAAAAATCATTGATCATTTTCATTCGATGGACGTTGACATCTGTGTGTGTGGATCTTTCTTTCGTTATATAACACAAAAACGATGATGATGATGGTTATGTAATGCACGCATGTGCATCCACGTTCAACGATCAGCGAAAAAAAATTCTTTCAAACTTTCAAAGTTTCATTGCACCCAAACTTCTTTTCTTGATTTTTTTCGCAAGAAAATCTTTATTTCGTTTAGGTCAAAGGTCTATTTTGGAACCAGAAATCAGGATTTGGAAAAAAGGAGTGGTAAAATTATAAAAGGTGGAGCCAATCAGATCATTAGATTGATGATAAATTTCTCTCTCTCTCTCCCTCTGATGAACATCACGAATCGGGCGTCGTAAGAATTTTTGTTTTGGAAAAAAAGAAGGTCAATAAATATATAGAGAAAATGTTGCTGGTGTTTTATTTCATTCGTTCGTTTTGCTGGTTGGTTGGCCAAACGAAAAAAAGACAGGAAAACAGAAAAACATCCACAGAAAACTGAATAACATATCATGCATGATTTTCATTCATAAAATCCATTGAATAAAGAGTTTTGACTGTAGTTTTTTTCAACAATCAAAAAAAATGCATGAATGAATCGAGGATGTTTTTCAAACAAAAACAACAAAAAAAACCATGTGGTTTCCCCTCACCCCCATCACTACCACCACATCTGTTACCACCCCTTTTACTTACCTTATCGTATACTACTACTACGTCAACGTCAATAAGGTGTATTGTATTTTGTGATCATCCCCGTGCCATCGACTTTCGAAATACGCATACGAAGTAAGGATACCAATTTGCGCAGATGGATAATAAAGGATGAGTAAAGGAAATATTCAAATTGAACATGCGCATCATTACAGAAGCAAAAAAAAATATCATCTGCCGATTGATGATGAGGAGGAGGATTGTATATTTTTTATTTTTTATTTTTGATTGTCACGACGATCAATGTTGATGATTTTAATGAAGAAAACGACGACGACGACGACAAAAATCAAACTTAAACCAAACGAAACCAACAAAAAAAACGGCGAAAAGAAAACGGCTAGCTCATTTTTATTTGAATGAAGAAAAACAAACAAACATCAAATCAACATTATAACATCCTTCAATTTTTTTCTGTTTTTCTTTTCCTTTCCCCCCATTTTTTTGATATATTCATTATTATATACAAGAACAAGGAAAAGATTCTCTCTCTCCTGCTATCGAATGATGAATCTGTTGGCCTGAAAAAGATCTGTGTTTGGTTTTGGTACTTGGTTTTTGTGTGTGTGTGGTGTGTGTTTGTTGGAACATTTATTTCATCATCATCATAGTTCCTTGTTTGGATCCGGTCGATTTGAAGATTATCGTCTTTGAAGAATTTAATCTTGTTCGTCGTCATGAAATGAATGAAAATGAAAATATAACCCGATTTGGTCAAAAATAATTCTCACCTTTTTTTTGCCTTATTTAGGATCATTTGTTTGTTCTTCTTAATTTGAATCATCATCAAGTTGTTCCAGGAAATTATGGAAATAATTTCTCAAAACAATTTTAATTTATTATGGAATTTTTATAATGAAAAATCCAAACAAAAATAATTGTCGAATAATTCGAATGTTTCAGCAGAAAAAACATTCGAATTCGAATACTGCCATTATTCTTCATCATCATCGTTGTTTAACATGAAGAATTAGGAAACAATTTCATCCGATCATCATCCTCATCATTTTTTTTATTTGTGCCTCATTTTTTGATATTTTTTTAGTTTTTTCTTTTCAATTTTTTTGCTCACTCCAAAACACCACATATCTCTGATTTACACCATTTCTTTCTTTCGGTTTTTGCCATTAATTTCAATTTAATTTAAAAAAATCCCGGTTACTGCCATGACTACCGGTGATACAGCAGCATTGATAGCTGATCACTCAAGTAGTCATCATAATCATCATAATAATTTGAATCAACATGATCAACAACAATCGATTGATCATGATGATGATATTCAATCATCAACGATTCATTCTTCACCATCATCGATGGCCATGGAAATATTACCACCACCATCATTTCAACAACAACAACAATCCGAATTGACAATCGACATAACAAAAAAACTTCGTCTACTTAGTCCAGTTGGTGCCGAAGCTGCTGAATATGATTGGCCATTAGTTGTATCGGTATGATTGATTTGGTTGATTCATTTTTCAAGTTTTTTGATTTTTTCTGTTTTTAGAATAAATTTAATGCTGCAATTGAAATTATTGAAACGATACGTTTAGTTGCGGAAGAATTTCCACCATTAGAAACAGCATTGAAAAATATATTGGCCGATTATGATACATCTAGTTATGAAAAAATGAAATGTTTTTGTGATCGTTATAATAAAGTGATCAAGGGATCAGTGCAAATGGTTTGTTTTTGATTCTGAATGAAATTCTTTTTATTTTCTAAATCTTTTGATTCAACAGTGGAAAGGAACATCGATTCCTGAACCAGAAAAACGTCCAACGCTAGAATTATTATCACATATAATACAAATGTGCTATAATCATAGTGTTGGTGATCCACAAAAATTAAATAAATTTTATGAACCATTTTCACCCGAAGTTTATGGCGAAACATCATTTCAATTTGTTCAACAAATGATTGATGAAATTGGCCTGGGAAAAGATGATATATTTATTGATCTTGGCAGTGGTATTGGACAAGTTGTATTACATGTTGCCGCTGCTGTTAATTGTGTTCGTTGTATTGGTATTGAAAAAGCTGATTTACCGGCTAGTTATGCTGAGGTAAATTTATTATTTTAGAAAAAAAAATTTTTGATTCAAATATTTGTATAGCAAATGAAAAGACAATTTCGATTCTGGCTCAAATGGTATGGCCGTAAATGTTCGAATTTTGAATTATTTCGTGGTGATTTTTTTGGCGAAGAATTTAAAGAAATGATTTATAATGCCAAGTAAGTTATTTTTGAACATCAATGATTCATTTTTTTAAATTCTTGTTCTAGTTTCATTTTTGTCAATAATTTTGCATTTGGACCTGAAGTTGATCATCGTTTAAAGGGTTATTTTCAAAATTTATTGGATGGATCGAAAATTCTATCATCAAAAGCATTTTGTTCATTAAATTTTCGCTTTTCACAAAGAAATCTATCGGATATTGGTGCAATGATGACTGTAAAAGAAATCTTACCACGTGATCAATCAGTATCATGGACTGGTCGTCCAGTATCATATTATCTACATACAATTGATCGTAAACAATTAGCAATTTATTTTGAAAAATCCAAAAATCATCGGTTAAAGGTAAGCATATCATTTTTTTGAAAAATGCGGCTATTTCCACCGATCAGGATAATGATTGTGTGCATATTCCCTCCTCTTTTTTCTTTGAACCACTCACACAAAAACATTAACTGAATGACTTGACCGACTCACAATTCTTTCTTTTTTCTTTTCTTTTTTCCCCATTGCTTGTCATTTACACACAATATATAGAGCAACAACAATGGCCATAGCAGTAGTAGCACTAGCAATAGCAGTCAAAGTAGCCATAATCGAAAATTATCAAATCGAAATCGTCAACATCAACATCATCATCATCATCATCAACAACAAAAACAACAACCATTGACAACAATCACAGCATCTAATCATCATTCAAATATTATTGTCAATAATAATCATCATCAACAACAAATTAATAACAGTAACGGTTTAAATATTGATGATAACGAATCGGATTTATATCAATCAAATAGCAATTTGATTGAAAAAGATGAAAATATGATACCAAATAAATGGACAAGAAAAGCATGGTCAGAATATATATCATCATCAACAAATAGTAATAATAATAATCATTCTGGCCAAAATCAAAATAGTATTTTAGTGACAACAAATGCATCATCCTCATCGACTGTTAATCAAACAACAACAGAAATCGATGATGATCAATTATCACCATCACCAACAAAATTATCAACAACAACAATAGTATCATCTCAAAAAAATAAACGTAATCGTGGTCGTCCTAGAAAAATAAACAACATTTCCAATAACGATAATAATAATGTCGATGACATTGATGATAATGGAAACTATTTTTCCGGTAATAATGGAATTGGCGGTGAAACTAGTCAATATGATTTAAGTGGCAATAATAGTAATAATAATTTGGAGCAAGATGATGATGTTGAAAATAATAGAATTACGAATATAGCACAGGAGGAAAATGAATCGGCGGTTGGTGATAATGATGAGGATGAGGATCATCAATGTAATAATAATCGTCGTGGACGTCCAAAGAAAACATCATCATCATCGGCACGTAAAAAAACTACTAGCCATAAAACTAAACGAAAATCAACAATTTTTTCAACTGGACGTTCGAAAAAATCATTCAAAGGCATATCGATGAATAGTTTGGCTGTTTTGCATGAACAAACTGTTCGAAGTACAACACAAGCCATTAATAATGCCAATTTATCGACAAATGGCCATATCCACCATCATCATCCGCATCTTCATTATCATCATCATAATAATAATAATCATCATTATCGACGTTATCGTTCACCACCACCACCTGGATGTGTTGAACAACGTCTTTGTTCAAGATTGGGTGAACAAACTGTACAGGTGCCAAATATAACTGTTATCAATACGGAATTGATTGCAGCCGCTGCAGCTAATGCTAGTTGTGATTTATCATCACCGATGACAGCTTTTCGACAGCAGATGACACCACCACCACCATCCGAAAAAGATAAAGATACTTCCGTCGCTGTTGATGCTGATGATGGTTTGGATAGTAAAACAATAGAAAAAGAAATATCCGAATCAAAACAGATTAAAGAATTTAATGGAATTCATCTATGTCGACCATTGAATCTAAATGAATTATTATATCTATATGCTAAACAGATTCAAAATTTTAATATTTATATGAGTAAACCAGAATATTTGGATAATATTCGACAATCCATTACTAATTATGAGGTAAGATTTTTGATATTTTTTTTGAATTGAAATGAAAAATCAATGAAATTTTTTTGCAGAATGAAAACGATAATGCCAATTATCAGATAAATCAGATGAATAAAAAAATTTATGAAGATAAATTCAACTTGAAACGTTATCTTAAAGATCTCAATATTGAATCTAATCAGGATTTGGTTACAAGAATTGATGAAGTTACCGATAGTGTAGCACAATTAAAGCAACAAATTTCCGAACTTAAATGTTTAGTACGAACACGTGAAGATGAATTGAATGATCTATGTGATCAAGCTGAACAAATTCAACGTCAGCGTCGTCAACGTGAACAACGACGACGTCGTGAACAGCGACAATGTTTGAATGAAATGTTTGAACGTGAACAACAATTACAACGACAAATTGCCGATCAACAATGTCAATTGGAAAAACAACAGCAACAAATTCTTCAACAACAAAAGAATCAAGAAACAACTCTAACAACAGAATCGGCTACTGATCAAGTAGAATCACCAAAAATAAGCTATAAAGAAATGAAATATAAAAAATATTTAAAACGTACCGCACGAACAACAACACCACCACCGCCACCCGTGTCCACATCTATTCCTTCTTCCACCACAACATCCATGGCTCCAATGATGGTCGCATCCGAATCGGTACCGATGACACCACCAACACCGATACCAACACCACCATCAAATAGTAGTAATGATGGTGGTGGTAGTAATCATTTGGAATCATCAAAATCATCCGAAGCAATGAAAATAGATGTTAATCGTATCAATTCGGTTATTATGAAAGGCTTCAATGAAGAAAAAGCTCAATCTGGTGGTGAACAGCAAACCAAATCTACAAATCAGCAACAATTGAAACGACAATCATCATTGTCGGCCAATAATTCAACAAATACCAATATTAACGATAATTCAAAACAAACAAGTAAACGTACTAGAAATAGTAAAAAAGAAACCCGAATTGAAACATTAAAAACAAAAAAAGGTGATCATCGTGATATAATTATGACAGCCGGATGTTTAACAACTGTTGTTAATCGTAAAACGACCAGCAACAAAACAAATCATTCAGATTCAAATATCTCGGAAACGAATTCAACTCCCAACATGTCTAATGTGAATACGAAAACAAACGCAGAAACAATAGCCAAATCTAAATTATCATCATCAAATTCGGATGCTGAATCACAGAAACCATTTCCATTCAAGTTGAAAATTAATTGTAAAGAAAGTAAAGTGAAAATTTTGAATGAATCAGAAACAACGACATTGAATGATTCATTGACAACAGCAACGTCGACGACAAACAAACGAAAATCATCGACAGTATCAACAGCCGAATCAGCATCTTCAGTCAAAAGTAAAAAGACAAGATCATCAGAATTATCATCTGCTAATCATCAATCAAACGATAATAATACTGCTAGTCCGATTGAATTAAAACGACCATCAGTTGTTATAAAATTAGGTTCAAATGGACAATATTATAGTCAAACAACATTAATTGATGATAATAATGATAAAGACAATGTTCAAACGAATGATGATGGTGATAAAAAACGAATGATCAAAACAGATGATCATGATGATAATTTAGAATTGGGAATCAAAAAATCTAGTGAATCATCACCCAAAATAACCAATAATACAGCAAATGCAAGTAATAAAGGAAATAGCCGTAAAGGTCGTAATAGTTCAACGGGTAAACATTCGAAACAGCAACAATCGGTATCGAATAGGCAAGATGTTGTTGATCAATCAACCATTAATCCTGTAACAGCCACCGTCAATAATTCAATGTATCAACAACAAAATGATCAGCAACCACAACAGAATCGGACAATCACGACCAATCAACATTATCAAAAACCGATGCCAAATCCACCACCACCATCATCATCATCATCGACTACGAATGCGGATTTAGCTGTAAATTATGCGCTCAATTTTTTCAACAATATTACCGATGAAATTGGAACAAAAAATTCTTATTTTAATGCAGCTGCAGCTGGCTATTTACAAGCTGCTGCTGTTAGTGGCCAACATTTTAATCCAAGTTTTTATCAATCACTTAATCAACATTCTCATCATCATCATCCACAACATCATAATAATCAACATAATCAGCATGCACATAATTCATTCGTCAAAAATAAATCCAATTATAATACTGGTGATCGTAATTCAGAATCATTGAATCATCAACAGCCAAAAGATTTTTATGATCATGCAATGCAACAATTTGCTGCAGCCGGTGTTACCAACAAAGAAACTACTGAACAATTTCTTCATCAATATCATGGATTGATGGGACATTCTCATCATCAATCATCATCGATGGCAGCAACAACAACAAATGGCCATTTTGATTATCCATCAACATTGGCTGCATGTCGTTTTCAAAATAATCATTCGATACCCGGATCAACAGCAACAACATCATCATCACAACAGCAGCCAACTTCTAATGGTAAATAATCGATTGGATTAAATAATAATAATGATAATAATGATTCGTATCATGCAAATAGTTTACATATGATTGTTGGTGGATTAATGACAGCTTCGAATCAGCCATTAAATCAAACGAAGATATTAATAGTAAGAATATAATTCTATAAGCGATAAATCTTTAATTTATTTGTTTTCCAGATAAACTGGCCACATTCTACAATGAGAAAATGATATTCTAGCTAAATATAATAATCATCATAATCATTATCAAGTTTTTTTGAATTGTTATTAAATTTCTATAGCTCCAATGTTCTATATTTAACAATATGTATGTGTTGCTCTCAATATTTGTTCCATCATATATTTTATATGCTGTGCTTGTTTTGATTCTTCTTATTATTCAACACATCGATTTGATTCCATGTTTTCATGTTTCTTACCATTCATCATCAGTAATGATCAACTTTACTCATTTTTCTCCGTGTTTAATCGTTCATATAAAATATTTATATCTACCTCTCTTGTTTTTATTTTTGATCCAATTCATCTTCATCACACAATCAATTTTAAATTCTGTAAAAATTAAATAATTCATTCTTTCTGTTCTGTAAATTATCATTTCCACATTACGTTTTATTCAATTATTTTATCAACAACACTGCCAACTGATGATTGTTTTAGAAAAAAAATTGTTTTTTGTTTGTTTTTGGAAATGCCACAATTGAATTTGTAACCATTGATTGATTTGACAAACACCATTGAATGTACATCATGTCATCATTCAATTTTTCTTATATTACTTAATTTATTTTTTCTTTTTTTCCCATTGGTATCAATGTAAAACAATTTAACGATTTAAAAATGAATAAAATTTGACATTTTATCCGAAATAAAAAATGATTTTTATTGATAAATTTGAAATTTTTTGTTTTGAAAAAAATGAAAATGATTTACTGTCCTTGGAAAGAAATCATAATTATGTAGCCCAATTAGTAGCATCAGCACTGGCTGCCCATTCCATTTGACCGGTTGCCTGTGCAGGCCAATCATCGGCTACCTGTGCATTCCAATCATGTTCCACTGGTGGTTCGTATTCTGGTACAGCAACTGGTTCGATTGGTTCACCACCCAAATCGGCTTCCAATTTGGCTGGTCGTTCCGATGAAAGACCGATTTCTTGTTCTTTTTCCTGTTGTTCAGCTTCACGATAGAAATACATGTCGACCATCACTTCCCATGGTGATTGACGTGAAATTTTACCACGCATTCGTAATACTTCACGGGCCAATAACCACCACATCAAACCAATTGAATAGATTGATTTATTGTTACACGGGATGGCAATGTCAACATAACGCAACGGTGAATCAGTATTACAAAAAGCGATAACCGGAATATTCACATAGCTAGCTTCAGTAATTGGTTGATGATCGGCACGTGGATCACAAATGATCAACAGACGTGGTTCCCGATATGATTCGGTACGTGCTTGATTGGTAAATGTACCAGGTGTAAAACGGCCAGCGATTGGTGTAGCATCAGTTGCGGCTGCATATTTCAATACAGCACGTTGTCCATATTGACGGCTAGAAATAACATAAACATCTTTTGGATCATCAATAGCATTAATAGCACGTGCAGCTAATAGAATTTTTTCCCATGTTTTGCGAATGTTAATCAAATGAACACCATCAGCACGACGTTTGTAAACATAGGTATCCATTTGATAATCCAAATTATTGGTACCGATATGTGCCGAAGCGGCTAACATTTTCGATACATCATCATCGGATAATTTCAATGCTTCAAGACCTCCCGACATCTCGGTTAACTTTTTTTTTAATTCAGTAACGGTTAGTTAACCTGATAGTGATTCAAACGAAAAAAAAATCAGAAAAAATTCAAATAAAAAGGATAAAAAACTTACAAAATTGGATGCCAATTGGGTTTAGTGCCTGTGAGTTGAATTGAAATGTTTGCGGACAGGAAAAAGGAACACCATACATGTGGCATGCTGTACGCACAAACAAAATGAACATGCGCTCATCGATCATCATCATCATTTTTGTTTGTTGATCACATGATCACATTGAATGTTCATAACAACTAGTACCACGGAGTATTGAATTATCATCAATAGATGGCAGCATTTATTGAATAAATTCTCTGTTATTCATTTTTTACAATTTTAAAAATATTGCCATTTTCGACGATTCAGCATTATTCATTAGGGAAAAAGAATCGTATGACGTCAAATTGAAATCGTCAATCAACCATCGATTCTTCATTTCAATAATATTCCTTTTCGAAATGAATCATTATCATTTATAAACAATCAAAAACAACAAAACAAACTAATATCAAGGTCAAATAATTATCAAATATCCTGTTCAATATCTCTTCATCATCATCATTCCATATCAATATCTTTCAAAGAATTTTTTGATTTCTTAGCAAAAAAAGCCAAGAGATTGTTATAGGTTGAAATTCTTAAATCCCCTTTTTGAATGAAACTTTTTCATTTCAAATAAATTCAATGACGTTTGACTGTAATCGATGTGAAGAAGAATTCACTTTTTGTTCATTTTTGTTTTGTTTTGCATAGGTTTGTTGCAATTCTGTTATTCGGTATAAAGAATTTTGCCAGGTTTTTTTCGTTTGTCGGGTGAAAAACCAAGAATCATATCATAAATTCTACATTTAGGGAAATTCTTTTTTTACATTTTCTTCGTTTTGTTTTTTTTGTCAATCACTGCTATTATAGTGAAACTAAACAAACAATGTTTGTTTTTGTCGCCTTGGAATTATTTCTATACTCTTTTTTTTCTCTCTCCCAAATTATCATTCACATAAATAAATGATAACCATCATCATCATCATCATCGTAAATGATTACCGACCGACCGACAAACAAGAAGCCATAAAAAAATTACTTTTAATGATGATGATACTGGGTTGAATGATGATGATGATGATGACGCCCAATATTTTCTTTTTTATTTAAAAAGGTTTGTAATAAGATTGTTTTTTTTGTTGTTGTTGCTGAAAAAACGACGCTATTCAAAGATCGAATAAGTGAGAGCGAAAGTGAAAGAATTTCACTCCCAAATTAGTTCAAAAAAAAGTTGTTCAATGTTGTTGTTGGTAATCAGTGTTGCACTAACTTAACAAACTGGCTTATGTTTGAAGATTTTACCAAAAAAAAAAAAAATTCTTCCAAATTCGAACACTAAGAATACTGATGAAAAAAAAGAATTCAAAATTCTTTGTCGTCTGTTCATCATTCTATTTTCACTCTCACTGTGTCAATTATTTCATCAAGCTATTTTGGCCAATTTTACAACTGGTTGCATGTCAAAAGAATCATTATTCTCTCTTTCTCCACCCACCACCACCACCGATTTCATTCGATGAATGTTTTTTTAAAGTTTTTTTTAGCATATTTTTTTTCTTAAAATTTTAAAGTGAATTGCATCCCGAAAAAAACATCTACATCTTTTGTTTTTCTCTCAACATCAACCCAGTGTACAGTTATGATATGGATGTTGCTGCTACTTTTTTCCATCATTATTATCATCATCAATTATGAATATGGGGCTATATGAAATCCAAAAAACACAAAAAGAAAAAAAGATGAGTTTGCCAAGAAATTTTTCCTTTTTCGAAAGAAGAAAATCGGAATATTCATATTAGTCTGTTTGCAGAATCATTCTAGTCATTCGTTTGTTTGGTGTTTGTCGGTAGATCTTCATCAAATCATTTAACATCATTCTTGTGGTGCGTTTGTTTGTTTGTGTCTCTGTATGTGTATCATTATTGTTTGAAAAAATTTATTAAAATTTAATTTAATTATTGGTCATTGTGTTTAACTCTTTTTTTTTGTCTTCTTTCCTTAGTTAATCCATTCATTCATTCAATTTTTTTCCAATTTGGCTGTAAAGCAACCAACAACCTAACAAAAAATCCGATAAAAAATGGAGGCCATCAAAAAGAAAATGCAGGCAATGAAGCTCGAAAAAGATAATGCTATCGATCGAGCTGAAATTGCCGAACAAAAAGCCCGTGATGCTAATCTTCGTGCTGAAAAGGTTTGAAACACTGAAACAAGCAACTGAAAATTTTTAATAATTTTCAAAAATATTGTTTTGTTCAATTTTCCATTTGGTAATTTAGTCCGAAGAAGAAGTACGTGCATTACAGAAAAAAATCCAACAAATCGAGAATGAATTGGATCAGGTTCAAGAACAATTATCGGCTGCCAATACAAAATTGGAAGAAAAGGAAAAAGCCCTGCAAACTGTAAGTTGAATATTCAAATGGGAAAAACATATAAATGCCAACTACAATCGATTAATCGATAAACAATCGATGAAAAAAAATGAATTCAATTTGTTTGAAAAGCAACAAGTCCTTGAGCTAAAAAAACTTTCTTCAAATTCTTTTCACACTATGTGTGTGTGTGTATAGCGCCTTTTTCTCCCCATTTAGAATCTAGAATCCAAGGGAAAAATTGATGCCAAGAAAAAGTTTTTTTGATTTTTCAGTTAGTTAGTTTTGCTGCTCATTTTGGCTGGCTTCGAAAAATGTTTAAAAATCATTCAGTGTTGTGTGTGATTGCGTCACATCAATGCAAATGAAGTGTTGATGGTGAAGAAAAACAATTTTTGCAGCCAAAAAATTCTATAATTAGAAACTTCTTTCTTTCTTGTGCTACCATCATCATAATCAATGAATATGGATGAAAAGAATTTCTGTTTGTTTTTTGGCTTCATCCAAAATGATGATGGGCGTCGATGGCTTCCGATTTCCGATTATAATCAGATGGATAAATTAATTGGCACATCAATTTATCGATTAATTAGTAATGATGATGATAATGATGTAACAATTTTAATTAAAATTTAGGCTGAAGGTGATGTTGCAGCATTGAATCGTCGTATTCAATTGATCGAAGAAGATTTGGAACGATCAGAAGAACGACTTAAAATTGCAACAGCTAAATTGGAAGAAGCATCACAATCTGCCGATGAATCTGAACGGTAATTAAGATTAATATCAGTAGTAAAAGTGTTGAATTATGACAATAATTATCATGTAGTATGCGAAAAATGTTGGAACATCGTTCCATTACCGATGAAGAACGTATGGAAGGTTTGGAAAATCAATTAAAAGAAGCACGTATGATGGCTGAAGATGCTGATAGAAAATATGATGAAGTTGCACGTAAATTAGCAATGGTTGAAGCCGATTTAGAACGTGCTGAAGAACGTGCCGAAACTGGTGAATCGTAAGTGTTTGTTTTAGAACCCTTGATTTTCTAATCATTATTTTGTTGTTTTAAAAAACAGGAAAATTGTCGAACTTGAAGAAGAATTACGTGTTGTTGGTAATAATCTAAAATCATTGGAAGTTAGTGAAGAAAAAGCACAACAACGTGAAGAAGCACATGAACAACAGATCCGTATTATGACAACCAAACTTAAAGAAGCTGAAGCACGTGCCGAATTCGCTGAACGATCAGTGCAAAAATTACAAAAAGAAGTTGATCGTTTGGAAGATGAATTGGTCCATGAAAAGGAAAAATACAAATCCATTTCCGATGAATTGGACCAAACATTTGCCGAACTTACTGGTTATTAAAATCACTTCTTTCATATTAACAACAAAAAAAAATCAGAAAATTTTGTTATTATTTTTAACATCCAAAACACCAACAAAACACAACAACAACATGATGTAATAATCCGATTTTATTTATTTATATATTCGATTGATTTGAATTTCGGTTCGATTTGTGTGGGCAAAATAACTTTGTTGCTTTGCTGGATGGATTATTAAATAATTGTTTTTACCAAAAAAATATTTTTGTTTTTCATTTTTTTAAAAATTTTTTCCGTAAAAAGGTATTTAGGCAACTTGAACGAAAATGAAAAAATCTCTATTCAATTCTAAATCTCGAGTTTAGATGGCAGCACGGGTCTCATTTTTTCTTCAAATTTTTATTCAATCTGATATCATTCTGTTTCAACTTTTAAAAAAAATTTGATTTTCTACAAAAGAATGTCGCTACTTTAAGAAATGATATGTCCGGAATTTTTCCCATACCATGTCACACACACAAATCAATCTTAAAATGATGATGATGAAAATGTTTATATATGGCAAAAACATCCGAAGAATCACTTTCCCTTCAAACGCCGTAAATAATAATTAAATATTCTTAAAGATTATTTTCCCCAGAATCTGAATTACATTCATCCCCAGTAAGCGAAATAAAACATTGACAACCAAAGAAACAATAATTTCATTTCTATCTCTAGTTTTTTAAAGTTTTTTTCGTTTTTGGAGGACGTACGAAATCATCATTGCCATCGTCATTAATCTTTCTTCATTTGTTGAATGAATGAATGGAATCCGTAATATTTTTGGGTGCATTCAGGAATTCGCTGGATATCTGGCTGGTGTTCTTTTCTTTGAATACATCATCATCCGACAGGCAAGCAGAACAGCAAACTTTTGTGTCATAAAAGAGTTGATTTATTTATAAATTCTTTATCTTTTTTTCTCTCATTTTATTTTCATACCAACATGACATCCACACTTGTAAGGAATTCTTATCATCTTAGGAATGCCAATCTTTTACAAAGAAACGAGAAATTTTCAATTCTATGCGATCGATACAATCGAAATTGTCCATCAATTAGAGAAAAAATATCGAATCGAATGAAAATTTTGATAATTTTTATCATTCGAAAATTTGGAATTCAGTTTTGTTTTGTTGACACATCTCTCTCACTCTTGTCAATCATTATGTTTTGGCATGAAACAATGAATGAATGCTTACTATGCAATTCAAATGAATTTAATTCTTCTTAACGACAAAATAGAAAGACAATATCTTTACTATCTAAACATTTGCCAAACTAAAAATGAGAGAGAATTTATCTGTTAAATTAACTGGATTTTTTCGTTTTTTTTGTGTTACCAGATTGACGCCTAAATGATGATGATTATTATTGTTCAAGGCGACAAACATTCTATATGATGATGATGTGCTTGAGAAAAATAGATAATATTCAATGGAAAATAAACGAAAATATTCTATTATGAAGTAAAGAGAGAGAGAGAAACGAAACATTCCTTGTCTGAAAATAACCTGCTATTCTTATTTCGTTTTGAATAGACATTATTGCTTGTTGATAAATGTGCAACATATTGCAAAACAAAAAGAAAAGAATTCTATATATCATATACTAATGCGAAAAACAATTGATGAAAAGAATTTTTGTTTTTTCACTTTAAACGCCCTTTACACACATACAAACACAGACATTGTTTGATTTGATGTGAACATGCACACTGGTGCTGTAGTGAATGTTTTCATTCATTCATTATTATCAAGAATATTTGTCCCAAAAATGGTTTACTTTTTCATTCTCATTTTGATCTATTACATACAAACATACAGATGTTTCATCTTTGATGATGTTTTTGTATATTCAACAATTTAGACATTTTCTTTTGAAATTCTTTCTTTTAAAACACGCCCAAAGAATATACCGGTGATAAATATGGCATTTTTTTGTTGTTATGTTTTTTGTTTGGCGTTTATCATTGATTATCGGTAGTGGTGATACTAGAATGATGGTAGTAGTCAATTTTAGAAATTCTTTCTCATCGGAATCACTTACTTGCCACTACGATAGGAATTTTTTGGAGGGGAGTGGGACAGGCGGAAAAAACCTCAAAAAGAAAATTCAATCAACAACAACTTTAAAAGTAGTCGATTTTATTCAAATCATTTTCATTCGACTTCTTGTTTAGTTTTGGTGTGTGTCGTGTGTTTATCTGTGTAAGTTTTTGTTTCATTTAAGAATTTTCAACATAATCGATAAAAAGTCAAACATCAATCAAATCAATCAATCAATTTTACCTGTTCTTTTTTTTAACAGAAAGAAGTCTCTCGCTATCAAATTTCTCTGCTGCTGCTTTGAATCAATCAGCCAATCAATTTAACAACTTTTTTTATTAAAAAAAAATTTAAGTGAAATCAATTGAAAAAATGGGTAAAAACGAGCCATCGGACGATCCCGATCCATCGGAATATTTAATGGTTTCGTTGGAACAAAAACGAAAAGATCAAACAAAACCATATGATGGTAAAAAAATGGTCTGGGTGCCGGATCCGGAAAAATGTTATCTTTTAGGTGAAATTCAATCAACCAAAGGTGATGTTTGTACCGTTTCCGTCAAAGGTGAAGAGGTAAGATGCGAATTGAAATTTTTTCTTCAAAAAAATCTTTCCAACATTTTCGAAAATCAAATTATCTTCAAAGTTTATTATTAGCATAAATAAAAGATGAGGGATAGTCGATTAAAAGTTGATAATAATAACTATTTATAAATAAAATTATCATTTATAACAAAAAAACATAGCGTCAAGTAAAAAAAGATCTTTTACAACAAGTTAATCCACCAAAATTTGAAAAAACTGAAGATATGGCCAACCTAACCTATTTGAATGAAGCATCCGTTCTTTATAATCTTTCTCAACGTTATTATTCCAACATAATCTATGTAAGTAAACTATCGAACAAACTTTACTAATTTTGGGTTTTTTCTTTTTTTCTTCTTCAACCTTCAATGACCACCACCCCCGAATAATAATTATTATTTCGACCCCCCCAATAAAATAAATCACCCCATTATCATTATGATTACCCCCAATAAATGATTAAATGAAATTAGCGTCAAGTAAAAAAAGATTTACTTCAACAAGTAAATCCACCTAAATACGAAAAATGTGAAGATATGTCTAATTTGACCTATTTGAATGAAGCATCTGTTTTGCATAATCTTAAAGAACGTTATGAAAACAAATTGATTTACGTAAGATTTTTTTTTATTTGACCCACCGGTTGACCCTTTTCGTCATTTCGATTTCACCTGTTGACCTTTTTTTGAGTATCTTATTCATACCATGTTTTTCGGTAGAAATATACCCATAAATAAGAATTTTGCATTCTTATTTCCCCAGAATCTTGACTATAGTATTTATTCCCTCAAGGAATCCATTGGTTAATGAATAATGTTAGAATATGCCATTCTAATGATAATTATCTTTGTTTAATCTATAGACCTATTCTGGCCTTTTCTGTGTGGTAATCAATCCATACAAACGTTTTCCAATCTATACCAATCGTGTTGTGCAATTGTATCGTGGTAGACGTCGTACGGAAGTACCACCACATTTGTTTGCTATTTCTGATGGTGCCTATACTGATATGTTGTCCAGTAAGTTTTTTAATTTCTTTCAATAAAATTTTTCAAGGTTTTCGTAAACAAATGAAGCAAACAATCAAATCAAAGTTCACCTTTGATTGTAGCCTAGTTTAGTTTAGTTTTTTCTAAAATTCTTTTTGGGTCGAGCCAAAACAACAAAACAAAAAAAATTCCATTGTCGAATTCTTTTGTATTCAAACCTTAAAAATTATTGCAGTTCTTTTTTTCTTTTTCACTTCTTCAATGTTGTTTTGGCCCGAATATTCAAAAAAATTGTTTTTTGATTCCAAAAATAGAATTACTATTAGCTATAGAGATATGCAAATATTCTTGTCAGGCGTAGATTATTTTGTTTTGTGTTATGGCTGCCATCATCTGGTTGAAATCGAATGATGTGATGATGCTATGTTTGGATGTTTAGATTTTTGTTGTTGTTATATTCTGTATGTTCATCTAATGATTTTCTCTTCTCTCTCTTTCTCTCGTCATTTCGGATTTTATTTCTTCTTCTTTCAAAGCCTTTTAAGGAATCAACAGGCTACATATAGTGATGATAATGATGATGATTACAGTTTTTTTTCAATTTGTTTACACATTTAGTTCACTTTGTTTGTTTCTTTTTCGAGCCAGAATCTTAATTATTCTAAAATGATGATGATGATGATATGGGAGAGATCAAGAAATAAACAGAACAGGAGGGAATTTGATAAAGAAAACCTTTAGATTATATAGGTCAGGGATAAATACGAAAACTTGATTAATTGAAAAAATATGGCTAATTGATTTGATTGTTTTTTCTTTTCTTTTATTTCCGAACAAAAAACACAGATCGAGAAAATCAATCCATGTTGATTACGTAAGTATTGTTTGAAGAAAAATCCAACACAGACACACCCACACATAAACAATACACAAGTGTACACGGCCAATGGAATGAGGAAATTATTTAAAAAATAATGATTGTTTTTTCCATGATATTGTTGATATGAATAACGTTAAATTAGTGGTGAATCAGGTGCAGGTAAAACGGAAAATACGAAAAAAGTCATCACCTATTTTGCTACAGTAGCTGCATCCGGTTATAAGCATAAATTTTCCACTGGTGTAAGTTGGTTTGTTGAATCTATTGAATTTTGGATAAAATCAAAATCAATCATGTTTATTGGCTTAATATACTTGCCTCTATCAATTTTTCAAAAACTAAATTGAATCAAACGTTTCAGGGTTATACCATTTACAAACAAACAACATCTACACAACATTTAATCAACCAATCAACCCTTCATTTTAAAAAATTGAAATTTATTTTTCTTTTTTTCACTCCGCCTTTTTTTTCATAAAACCACAACCCTGAAATTGAAATAAATGAATTATTCCCCCTTCCCCACCAAAAAAAAATCAATAAAAAAAATGATCTTTTTTCCCAAAAATGAACCCATCCCACAAAAAAATTTGACTAAAAAAATTAGTGGTGAATCTGGTGCCGGTAAAACTGAAAATACGAAAAAAGTAATTGCCTATTTTGCAAATGTCGGTGCACATGCCCCGAAACCAGGCGAAGAAAAGAAGAAGGTATGACATAATGACCATAATTATACTTTAAAAAGACAGTTTATTAGCATCCCCTTTTGTTCTTGGTAGTTATTCTTTGTATCGAATGATGTACGCACCCAAAATCTTATTTTTTACCCCTTTTTCCCAGTGAATTTTAACACCTTGCTTTTGCTTAATTTTAGTTTTTTTGAAATGAAATTATTATTATCGCAACATCATTATTCTAATAATCCTTTTGTTGATAATTAGGGTAACTTGGAAGATCAAGTTGTACAAACTAATCCGGTATTGGAAGCATTTGGTAATGCCAAAACTGTACGTAATGATAATTCATCACGTTTTGGTAAATTTATTCGTATCCATTTCGGACCAATGGGTAAATTGGCTGGTGCCGATATTGAAACCTGTAAGTTGGTGTGTCAGAATTAGCAGTTTCTGTTTTGAATATCAAATATTTCTCTATCTCTATAAAGATTTATTGGAAAAAGCTCGTGTCATTTCACAACAGTCATTGGAACGATCCTACCATATTTTCTATCAAATTATGTCCGGTGCTATTCCCGGCTTGAAAGGTATATTTTTCTTCCAAACATACCATATCACCACAAAAAACATTTTCCATTCACCATGATTATAAAAGTTTCCTAGAAAAGTTTCATGACCCCCAATAAGTATCGAGCAAATTCTCCCCAATGATCTTAGTTTGTTTTTTCAAAATTTTATTAATTTTAATTTTTTCCCCTTTTTCTTGACCAATCGATTATCGATGAATTTGTTGTCCTATATTTGAAAAAATCTTTTTAGAAAAATTATTATTGTCTGAGGATATCCATGATTACTTTTTCGTGTCACAGGGTAAAACAGATATTCCCGGTGTTGATGATGCTGAAGAAATGAGAATGACAGATGTAAGTAACCCCTAAAGTAATAGGTGGTAATAGTTGGCGTACCATTTGGTTACTGCCACTTCGCCCCTCCTTCGAATTATCAAATCAATGTTACCCACCAATCATCATATTGTTTCTATTTCTACCCAAGCGATAGGGATGTTTTTCGTATGTAATTTGAGTAAGATAAGCAAAATTTTTTAATCAGGTGAAAACAAAACAAACACAGATACACATTCTATTTGAATGAAACATTATTTTCTAATTTCAATTCTAATTTTTTAACAATAAAATACAAAAACAACAACAACAAACAGAAAAATTATTACTTAGCAATGATATCAAGGATTATTATTTCGTATCACAAGGCAAAACAGTGATCGAAGGTGTCGATGATAAAGCCGAAATGTTAATTACCGACGTAAGACTGTTATTATGATGTTTTTTTCATTTTAAAATTCGCTTATTTTGTTTGTTCCCGAAAAATTTCTCTTTTTCTCGAATCATAAATTTATTAACACTTTGTTTTCTTTTTTCCCAAAAAAATTTAAAATTAAAAAAAATTGCAGGAAGCTTTTGATGTTCTTGGCTTTTCAGCTGAGGAAAAATTCGATATCTATCGTATAACAGCATCTGTAATGCATATTGGTCAAATGAAATTCAAACAACGACCTCGTGAAGAACAATGTGAACCGGATGGTATGGAAGAAGGTGAAAAAGTTGCCCATTTATTGGGTTTGAATGCAGCTGATTTGTATAAAAATCTTTCAAAACCAAGAATTAAAGTTGGTAATGAATTCGTAACACAAGGTCGTACAGCTTCGCAGGTTGCCTATTCAATCGGCGCATTAGCTAAAGCCATGTATGATCGTTGTTTCAAATGGATGGTTAAAAAGTTGAACGAAACATTGGATACACAACAAAAACGACAATATTTCATCGGTGTATTGGATATTGCAGGTTTTGAGATTTTCGATTACAATTCCTTTGAACAATTGTGTATCAATTTCACTAATGAAAAATTACAGCAATTTTTCAATCATCACATGTTTGTTCTTGAACAAGAAGAATATAAACGGGAAGGTATCAATTGGGATTTCATTGATTTCGGTATGGATTTGGCTGCCTGTATTGAATTGATTGAAAAGGTTTGTTTTGTTTCGGTGTTTGGAAATTGAATTTATCTAATCCAATCAATATGAATAGCCTATGGGTATTTTATCCATTCTTGAAGAAGAATCTATGTTCCCCAAAGCAACCGATAAAACATTTGAAGAAAAATTGAAAACCAATCATTTGGGTAAATCACCAAATTTCCAGAAACCAAAACCACCAAAACCAGGTTGCAAAGAAGCACAAATGGCTATTGTACATTATGCCGGTACTGTACCGTATAATGTTACCGGTTGGTTGGAAAAGAATAAAGATCCATTGAATGATTGCGTTGTTGATCAATTCAAACATGGTTCTAATAAATTATTGCAAGTCATTTTCGAAGATCATCCTGGTCTTGGTGGTGGTGATGATGGCGGCAAAGGCGGTAAAGGTGGTGGTGCACGTAAAAAGGGTTCCGGTTTCCAGACTGTATCTGCATTGTACAGAGTAAGATTTCAATCGAAAAATTAACAAAATTTTGCTCAATTCACTAATTTAATCCAAAAAAGACATACACAACATGCATGAATATTAATAATGTTTGCTTCATTAATCTTTGAAATGTTTGATTTAATCAAAATTTTTGTTTGTTTCCTTCAAAATCCTTATTCTTCCCACCAATTTTTGTTTCCTTTTTATTTTCCATTTTGAATTGATTCATCATCCACCAACCAATTCATTGAATGAATGAATGCTGGCTGATTCCTTTTGATTGATATCAAAAAACAATCGATGAATGATTAGGAACAATTGAACAAATTAATGACAACATTACGTTCAACACAACCGCATTTTGTTCGTTGTATTATTCCCAATGAAACCAAATCACCAGGTATAATTCATTGATTCATTTATTAATTTTCCTTTCAATCTTTCAATCTTTATGGATCACATTTGCCATTTTGTTTTGTTTGCGCCTTCTTATTTAAGTTGACGAAATGATATCTCCTTTTTGTTTCATAAACGAAAACAATTACCGAAAAAGTTTCCCAAAAGAATGAATTTTTTTCCCGGAAATTCTAGTTTCCCACTTGAACATAAACACACAAAAACAGCGCAATTTTTTCCCTCAAATTCAGTGGTGAAACATTCTAAATTATAATTATGATTTTTTTAAAATTTTGTTCGGACCCCGATTTCATCATAAAATAATGTAATAATTAGGAACAATTAAACAAATTGATGACAACATTGAGATCAACTCATCCACATTTTGTTCGTTGTATTATTCCCAATGAAACTAAATCACCAGGTAAAATATAATCACATTCACAATACACACATTCAGTGTCCGAGAAAAAAAGACAATTTAGTGAAGAAATGGCAAACAAAACATGATGTGATCAAAATTCTAGTTCACCACATTTATCTTGGTCTATCTTTGTTGATATTTGTTCTAAATCAATATTTGTTTCCATTTCAGGTGTTATCGATGCTCATCTTGTAATGCATCAATTAACCTGTAATGGTGTATTGGAAGGTATTCGTATCTGTCGTAAAGGTTTCCCTAATCGTATGGTTTATCCTGATTTCAAACAACGGTATGTATTTTTTGTTTTAAAAATGTTCTTAGTTAGTCAGTTAGGGAATTTTTTTCGTGTGTGAAAAGGATTCGTTCATTATACACCTGTTCGAGTTTAGATTTGGTTAGCCATAGGTTAATTTAGGATTTGCCCCCCTAAACAAAAAAAGATTCACATAAACATAATTCAAACAACGAAATATTGAAAAATTAAATTTGAATTTCCCAAAAATTGAAAACAACTGAAAAAACCATCAACAAATTAGATACACCATTTTGGCACCAACCGTATTGCCAAAAGGTTTTGTCGATGCAAAAGTTGCTGCAACAAAAATTACCGAAGCCATTCAATTGGATGAAAATGATTATAAAATTGGTCATACTAAGGTTAGCATCGTTTATCATCATTTTTCAATCAAACTTTTTGTTTGTTTCCATTTTTGTATCTGTGTTACCCATTCTGTTATTCAAAAATGAGCATCCATCAATCGAAAACAAAACCAAAAAAAAAGATTCCTCTATGTTTTATGTGCACAACCCTTCTGTTTGGTTTCAATCAAGTTTCAATTTTACCTTAATTTTTTTTTTGATTATTTTATCGCGGTCTTTCTTATATTGTCGTTTGCGTAAAAAATGACTGGTATTTTTTTTCAAACCGATTTCATGGATTTTTCTTGATTACCAACCCACCACTTTTCAAATTGGATTCTTTAAATCATATTTTTCTGTCTTTTTTTCCCCAATTTTCCCACGAATGTTTCACAAACAAAAACAAACCAAAACCTCGATTCCCGTCAATGGTTTCACCTATTTTTTTGATAAATGTGTATCCCGGAATGAAACATCATTCGCCACCACCATCAACAATGCAACAGTTACACAATATTAGCACCAACTGCTGTACCAAAAGGTTTTGTTGATGCAAAAGTTGCTGCCGAAAAAGTTCTTTCGGCAATTCAATTGGATGAAAATGATTTCCGTTATGGCCATACAAAGGCATGTTTGTGTTGTGTTAATGTTTTCCTATAAAATAAACCCCCGAAAAACCCCTATTGGCCCAATATATAAAATTGCCTTCTTCTATAAATTTACGTTGTTTGTTTTCCATCAGAATGTATCATCAATTTAGCCATTTTTCTATTGATTTGTAAAAAATTGCTAATTTGTTTCCCATCCTTTTTTTCTGCTTTGATATTGGTTGTTGCTTCGATTCCCAAAATCAAAATTAGCTATCTAATACTGGCGCCAACCATCATACCAAAAGGTTTTGTCGATGCAAGACAAATCAGTGAAAAGCTTATTAAATCAATTCAAATCGATGAACAAGAATATCGTTTTGGTAATACTAAAGTAAGTAAAGTATATATAGAGATCTTTCTGCAATTGAAAGATCATCATTTGGACATCCAACGACAACGTAAACGACGACTGGTTTGCTTCCTTCCTCCCTAACCATTCTCAATTCCTACCATTTTTTCCTTTTCCGAAAATATTCTTGTTGATTGAACTTAAAATTGATGAAAAATTTCCCAACAAAAAATAGATTTTCTTCCGTGCCGGTGTACTTGGTCGTTTGGAAGAAATGCGTGATGATCGTCTAGGCAAGATTATGACATGGTTACAAGCCTGGATTCGTTGGTATTTCGTCAAAAAGAATTTCAAAAAACTTCAAGATCAACGTATTGCATTGTTGGTTATTCAAAGAAACTTACGCAAATTTCTTACACTACGCAATTGGTTATGGTGGAAATTGTATTCCAAAGTTAAGCCATTGCTTAATGTTGCCCGAGTTGAAGATGAACTCAAAGCTTTGGAAGAAAAACTCAAAAAAGAAACCGAAGCACGAGAAAAAGAAGAAAAATTACGAAAAGAGTTGGAAGTACAAAATGTCAAATTGTTGCAGGAGAAAAACGATCTCTATTTACAATTGGAATCCGAACGATCATCATCCGGTGATGTTGAAGAACGTCTGATGAAAGCTGTTTCACAGAAAAATGATTTGGAAAGTCAATTGTCGGTATGTTTTACAATAATACGGTGTTTTTGTGATGAAACAATCATTTTCTTTCATGTTGCTCAATAGGAATTGCAAGATCGATTGTCACACGAAGAAGATGCTCATGCTAGTCTCAGCTCAGCCAAAAAGAAATTGGAAAATGAAATCCAAAACCAAAAGAAAGAAATTGAAGATTTAGAATTGGCCTTACAAAAAGCCGAACAAGATAAACAATCAAAAGATCATCAAATTCGTAATCTGAACGATGAAATTGCTCATCAAGATGAATTGATTAATAAATTGAATAAAGAAAAGAAAAACCTACAAGAAATGGGTCAAAAAACAGCCGAAGATCTACAGGCAACGGAAGATAAAGTTAATCATTTGAATAAAGTTAAAGCCAAATTAGAGCAAACACTGGATGAATTGGAAGATAGTTTGGAACGTGAAAAGAAAGCACGTGCCGATATCGAAAAGAATAAACGTAAAGTTGAAGGTGATTTGAAATTGGCACAGGAAGCTGTTGCGGATCTAGAAAAGAATAAAAAAGAATTGGAAACCAATTTACAACGTAAAGAAAAAGAATTGCAAAGTTTAGCATCCAAACTTGAAGATGAACAAGCATTGGTTGCTAAATTGCAAAAACAAATCAAAGAACTTCAATCCAGAATTGAAGAATTGGAAGAAGAGCTAGAATCTGAACGACAAGCACGTGCAAAAGCTGAAAAACAACGTGCCGATTTAGCACGTGAAATCGAAGAATTAAGTGAACGTTTGGAAGAAGCTGGCGGTGCTACATCCTCACAAATCGAATTGAACAAACGTCGTGAAGCTGAAATGTCCAAACTTCGTCGTGATTTGGAAGAAGCTAATCTTAATCATGAACAAGCAATGTCAGCATTACGCAAAAAACATAATGATTCGGTTGCTGAATTAAGCGAACAAGTGGACCAATTGACCAAAGCCAAACAACGGTATGTGTGTCCAATGGACAATCCTTTGCCTTCTGCCTTTTGCCAATTGGATCACATTAGGTTAAATTCCCTTATAGAAAGATTACCCTTAGGATAGATTTTTCAACGAAATAATCATTATTCTATTTATTTTATTTAATTATTTATCATGCAATGAACAAAATCAGCATTGAAAAAGAAAAACAACAAATCAAAGCCGAATTTGATGATTTGAAAGGAAGTGTCGATCATCTTGCCAAAGATAAGGTAATATTAAGTCGATCTATGGACCCTTTAAACCCCCTTATTTTTGTATTGACTATCCGAATTATCAACCGAGTCTTAAGTCAGTGTTTGTCGACATAGATTGCTTTACAATGCTTTTTTTGAGTTGACAAAATTTTCATTTTTTTCTTCGTTGATCTCCAAACACAAGACTTGAAAAAGATCGTGGTACATTACAAGCTGAACTTGTCGATCTACAATCAGTTGTTGATCATGCAAACAAAAATCAGGTAAAAATTTTCAAACATTCACCAGCAGCAGGAATCTGGACGACAAACAACATTTCGGATTCGACGGCGATATTCGGATAGATTCATAAACATTAAGTTTCATGTGATTGGAACATACTAATTATTTGTTTTTTTTTCTGGCAGGCCAACATTGAAAAACAAAACAAACAATTGGAAATGCAATTGGCTGAAGTAACAAGCAAATTGGATGATGCTAATCGTAATCTAAGTGATTTCGATGCTGCCAAAAAGAAATTGGCTGCTGAAAATTCCGAATTACAACGACAATTAGAGGATGCTGAATCACAAGTTAATCAATTGACTAAATTGAAAAGTTCATTACAAAGTCAATTGGAAGAAGCTAAACGAACAGCTGATGAAGAAAGCCGAGTATGGATGATGATAATTGATCCATTGATTGCATTAATATTAAATTTCTTTCCCCCGATAACCAGGAACGTGCATCAGTCATGTCGAAATTACGTAATTTGGAACACGATCTTGATAATGCTCGGGAATCGTTGGAAGAAGAAACTGAAGCCAAAGCTGATTTACAACGCCAACTTAGCAAAGCTAATGCTGAAATTCAACAATGGCGCGCCAAATTCGAATCGGAAGGCTTGGCCAGATTAGAAGAATTGGAAGAGGCCAAAAAGAAATTGGGTGTTAAATTACAAGAAGCTGATGAACATATTGAACAACTCAATTCGAAAGTTGGCTCATTGGAAAAAACCAAACAACGTTTACAAGGTGAAATCGAAGATATGTCGATCGAAGTTGAACGTGCCAATGCATTGGCTGCAACACTCGAAAAGAAACAGAAAACATTCGATAAAGTTATTGCCGAATGGAAACAAAAAACCGATGACTTGGCTGCCGAATTGGATGCTTCACAAAAAGAATGCCGAAATTATTCGACAGAATTGTTCAAACTTCGTGCCGCATACGAAGAAAGTCAAGAACAATATGAAGCTGTTAAACGAGAAAACAAGAATCTCCAAGATGAGATCAAAGATTTGCTCGATCAATTGGGTGAAGGTGGTCGATCGGTGCATGAATTGGAAAAATCACGAAAACGATTGGAAATGGAAAAAGAAGAATTGCAAGCAGCATTAGAAGAAGCAGAAGCTGCATTGGAACAAGAAGAGAACAAAGTATTGCGTGCACAATTGGAATTATCACAGGTTCGTCAAGAAATCGACCGACGATTACAAGAGAAAGAAGAAGAATTCGAAAACACACGAAAGAATCATCAACGCGCTTTGGATTCCATGCAAGCCAGCTTGGAAGCCGAATCCAGACAAAAAGCCGAAGCTTTACGTATGAAAAAGAAATTGGAATCCGATATCAACGAACTGGAAATTGCATTAGATCATGCTAACAAAGCTAATGCTGAAGCACAGAAAAATATTAAAAAATATCAACAAAATATCAAAGAATTACAAACGGCATACGAAGATGAACAACGTGCCCGTGATGAAGCACGCGAACAATATGCCATGGCTGAAAGACGATGCAATGCATTGCAAGGCGAATTGGAAGAAAGTCGGCAATTATTGGAACAGGCTGATCGTGGCCGAAGACAAGCTGAAGGAGAATTGGCCGAATTACATGACCAGGCTAATGAATTATCGGCCAATAATGCCTCATTATCGATGGCCAAACGTAAATTGGAAGGTGAAATGCAAGCATTGCAAGCCGATTTGGATGAAATGCTCAACGAAGCTAAACAATCGGAAGAAAAAGCTAAAAAAGCAATGGTCGATGCTGCACGATTGGCTGATGAATTACGTGCCGAACAAGAACATGCAATGCAACAGGAAAAAATGCGAAAAGCAATGGAACAACAAATCAAAGATTTACAGGTACGATTGGAAGAAGCTGAACAGGCTGCATTGAAAGGTGGCAAAAAGACCATTCAAAAATTGGAACAAAAACTCCGTGAATTGGAACAAGAATATGAAAGCGAACAACGACGACATGGTGATGCATCCAAGAATCTACGTAAAGCTGAACGTCGTATCAAGGAATTGCAATTCCAAGCTGATGAAGATCGCAAAAATTATGAACGTATGCAAGATTTGATCGATAAATTGCAACAAAAGATGAAAACATACAAACGACAAATCGAAGAAGCCGAAGAAATTGCTGCACTTAATTTGGCTAAATATCGCAAAGTACAACAAGAATTGGAAGATGCTGAAGAACGCGCTGATATGTCCGAAAATGCATTGGCTAAACTTCGCGCTCGAAATAGAAGTTCAGCATCAGCTACACGTGGTGTTAGTCCAGGGGTAAGTTTTTTTTACGATAATGAAAATTCTTTCAAATTTTAATCAATTTTTCTTCTCAATAGCAGGCCGTACCAAAACCAAGAAAAACACGCGTTGAAGATGAATAAATGCAACAATATCACCAACTTATTTAATCAAATATCAATCAACCCATTCATTGATTTAATTGTTGTTTCAAAACAAAAATTCAGAAATCCAAGATATTAATCCCATGTTATCACTTATATACACACAACCAATCTACCAAACTAAACTGATAGATGATTACAAATAATTATTATTTCAATTAATCAACCACCAAGACAGTGTGTCATCATATTTGTTGTTATTTCTATCTTTATTTATTCTATTATTATTATTATTATTATTATTATCGGAAAATTGTCCAAGTTTTGAACGATTGATTGGAAATTCTTCTTCTTTCTCACTCTCAACAAAACAAGCAGCAGCCCCAAACATCAACCATCTGGCACACACCATGGATGAGTTTGAAGGAAAAAAATTTTCAATCAATTTTGTTTCAATTTTCAATTACTTGGCAATTTTACTTTTAAAAATTTGAACAAAAAAATAAAAATTTCATTTTAATCGATTCATTTTACACAATAAGATATAATACATTTTGCAAACAAATTTGGGTTAAATATCAATATCTTTAACATTCACTTCATTATCTTCACCCCATTGAATACAATTATCAATGGATAATAGTACATCATTCATAAGATCTTCATCAAGGACAGAAATTGGTAGAAATTTATGCAGCGAATAATCATCAATAATCTGTGCAAAAGCACGACTTAATCGATAAAAACGTTCATTGCGATTTCGTTGAAAACATGGTTGATCATTGGTGACAAGATCCGAACTTGGTTCCAGTATATCTTCTAATGATTTTTTCTGATCATCAGGTAATTTGTCAATTTTGGTTAATAAATTGACCATAGGTAATTCTAGATTGATTAATGTTATCAATGATATTATTAATGAACTAAAGTATTTTGACATATCCGATATGAATTGTGAATCAAGTAGAAATACAACACAAACACGAAAATCTAAGGATTCCAAATATTTGGCAAATGTTTTCATCAAACCGAAATGTGATACTAATTCAATTTGACCAGGTGTATCGAATAGAACGTAATCATCTTCTTGGGTGCCTAATTTTTCGGTCAACCAATCCAGATTGTTCATTAGATATTCCATTGCAAAAACCAATGCGCCATTTGGACCGAAATTCAAATCTGCATCGTCCATTACATCTTCCACATGAATCAATTGACGAATATCGGCAATGGCATTATAATTGAAAACTTCAGCTGCTGGATCCAAATTTACCGCATACATTGTTCGTTTGGATGCTTCTGCATGGGCCATCATTGCAGCGATAAATGTTGATTTACCACTACCGGCAGGTCCCACCACTAATTGAGCATATCGAGGCATTATTACTGCAATTAATCGATAATTTTAAATCAAACAAAATTATGATTCAAACAAAACTCAATAACAATCACGTGGTTACCAATCAAACAAACAAAACCTGATATACTTGCATCATATAAACATTTACAAAATCGGCATCGATGTTCATCACTGTTTCACCCCAATGATATGATTAAGAAATTTTCACCATGGTCGGTTACAAAAAGTTTTTTATTCGAAACCAATAGAAAAGCTATTCATTTTTCAAATGTTAATTTAAATGGCGAACAAAATGGACAACAAAAACGGCCGCCACCATCACCACCACCAGCTGATCTTTGTTGCCGTAGTGGATGTGCTAAATGTGTATGGCTTGAATATTGTTTAGAATTGGTTGAATTCTACCGAAATGATGGTGGTGTTGAAAAAGCACAAAAAGAATTAGAAAATCATGTACATGATCCATCATTACGAATGTTTATCATAATGGAATTAAAGCAAACGTTAAACAATAGATAGATTATGAAAATTTATTCAAAAAAAATAATAAAATAAAGACAAAGATAATAAAATTAAAAGCGTATTTCCTCGTCATCATAGGTAACCTGTACACGTATGATCGGTTCATTTAGTTTGGTACGTAAATCGCCAACATTTCGATTTTGTCCAGTATATTTTTTGCCCGTTTTAGCATCCAATGCTACTGATCGCATACGATTTTTAATCGTATCATCAATAGTTCGACGCCATATTGAATCGGTTCGTTTGGCTTTCATTATACGATTATTTGATGATAATGATGGTTGAATTCGATCACCAATTCTTGATGATGAAAACGATCGATTCGATGATAATCGTGAACGTAAATCATTTGATGATCGTTGCAGTTGTTGTTGACGTTGACGTTGTTGTCGTATTCGTTCCTCTTCCTCATCAGCTCGCATTCGCATACGAATTGGTGGCATAGAACGACGACGACGTTGTTGTTGTTGACGTCGTCTGGATTCCATTGAATTGTTAACGATATCTTCAGGCGTGGAGATGTCCATCATCTGTTCATCAGTATTCCGTTTGACTCTTCGCAATGGAACATTCGACGATAAATTCGTTGGCGATGATGGTCGAGCTGCTATTATTTGCTGTGGTTCATTTGCGGTATCTGGTAATTGTTGATTATTTTTACGATCATTAATCGTTGCAAAACGTATCAAAATAGTTTTAGCTTTTGGATGTTTCTCACCCATTACATAACGATAATTAGGCGGTACAGGAATCTCTAGTGAATCGGAAAGTTCAACTTTTAGATTAAGATTATCTGCTCCTTTAACACCCAATGAATTGTCACGCCATTCAATATCATTTTTATGTATAATGATTGCTTTAGCTATCGATATTAATGATTCGAATGCTTCATTAATACAACCAAATGTAACATTACAGCTAATATTTGATAACCATTCAATTGAATGTGGTTTACGTTGAAAATATTCATAAACATCTTCCGATGTTAATGCATCCAAACCACGAACATGTAATACATTAAAACGCCAGATTGAATACGATTTTGTCAATTCATTTGTTGATAGATTCAATGCTAGACATAATTCTTGTTGATAATCAACATTATCCATATTATATTTTCGATAAACAATCCAATATTATTCCACATTCACAATAATGACATGTTTTTGTGTAAAAGAGAGACCTCATTTCTGTTATGAGATATAGAGAGGTCACTCGCCAAAAGATGGCATTGTTTATATCTTATCATTGCGAATGTTTCATTCGAATTTCATTTTGTTTTAATCAAGAAAATTGACCTTCGTGTTTAATTGACATATATTTTTGTAACAAATTAATTTCATTTCTCAAAGCCAACAAAAAAATATGTAGTTTTTTCAAGTATTGTTTTGACGATGATCAGATTATGATTGATATTGATGATTGGCAATCAATTTTTAGATTGATTGATGATGATGATCATGATTTGATAAGAATGTTTAGTGTGTTTTGATAAAAAATCCTATTGTATGAATTTACGACCTTGCTTGCATTTTTGAGTGGCCATCAAAATGCATTATTTTTGTTCCTTATCCTTATGACTTACCGAACGTATTGTTCCCGACGACAAATTAATTAATCTCGAGTGTATATCTCAATTCCTGGTCGATATGATGATGATTGGCAATGGGAAAAGCAATAAAAACCCCGATTAAAAATGATATTGGCTATTCATATTCTCTTTCTCCTTTTTTGGTTATTCCCATTTTTTCATATCGTAAAAATCCAAATCGATTTTCTTACAAAATGATGAAATTATTATTGATTGCTGCCGCAGCTTTTGTTGCCGTTTCGGCTGATCCAAGTAAGTTATTTCTTCCTGAACATACAAACAATGAATGAATGAATCAATGATTATTTGTCCATATAGTTCACTATGATAAAATCACCGAAGAAATTAACAAAGCTGTTGATGAAGCCGTCGCTGCAATTGAAAAATCCGAAACATTCGATCCAATGAAGGTGCCCGATCATTCTGATAAATTCGAACGACATATTGGTATCATCGATTTAAAAGGTGAATTGGACATGCGAAACATTCAAGTTCGAGGATTGAAACAAATGAAACGTGAAGGTGATGCTAATGTGAAAAGTGAAGATGGTGTTGTCAAAGCTCATTTGTTGGTCGGTGTTCATGATGATGTTGTTTCAATGGAATATGATTTGGCATACAAATTGGGTGATCTTCATCCAAACACTCATGTCATTTCGGATATTCAGGATTTTGTTGTCGAATTATCGCTCGAAGTTAGCGAAGAAGGTAATATGACATTGACATCGTTCGAAGTACGACAATTTGCCAATGTTGTCAATCATATTGGTGGTCTTTCAATTTTGGATCCAATTTTCGCTGTCTTATCCGATGTTTTGACCGCTATTTTCCAGGATACCGTACGTGCAGAAATGACCAAAGTATTGGCACCAGCATTCAAAAAAGAATTGGAACGAAACAACCAATAGACTTACACACAACATAACACTGTTATTTTTACACTGGATAATCAAATGAAATAAATTTTTTTATCATTTTGTTTTTTTCGGTTTAAAAAAACTTTGCTTTGGCCATGCATCAAATTTTTATATATATAGTACATCATGAAGCAAAAAAATCAATCAAACAACATAAAAATTAATCAAAAAAATAATTTAAAAAAATGAAAAACAGTATGGCAACATCGTCTTCTGGGGGGAAAAATCAAAGACGATATACAAAAAATATATATTCAGTTGATGGAATTTTAATTCATTAAAGATGTGTGATTTTTTTAAGAAAAAAAATTCATGGAATTCAGTCCGAATTTAGTTGAGCAATTCACATTATCATTATTTCACAAAGGTTGCAATCATCATCGATAATTTAATTTGAAAATGACGAGTATTTCGTGTCACAAGAATTTCAATATCATACATTATCTTGCATTTCATTTGCAGCCATATTGGCTTGACGTCGACGTTGACTTCTTCGTACAGCATCTGCACGTCTAAATGGTTCATTTTTGAGACCTTGAAAATAAAAAATAAATTAATATAATTACTATAAGTACATATGTATCAGGCATACCTGAAAGTATATCCTCCAATGCACCATTATAAACTTCATCCTGCTTGAGTAGACGTTTTTCTTTCACTTTTTGATTATCACTAGTTGTTCCATGTTGTTGTTGATGATGATTATTTCCTGTTTGATCGGATTGATTAGCACCATTCTGTTGTTGTTGTTGTTGTTGCATCATACGTTGTTGTTGTTTAGCAAGAATTTGTTGTCGTAATTCCTCTTCAATACGTTTACGTTGTGCCATTAGATTGTCTAGCTGGCATTGTTTGAAATTTTTAAGAAAACGAACAAAAGTTCCAAACAATTGATTTGATGATTCTAACATTTTAGGATTTTCACCAAAATATTCCACACATTCATTATATTGTTGTTGTGTTTTTCTTAATTCGTCTTTTAGTCCAGAAACTTCTGGTCCTTTTTGTTGTATGAATAGTTGTATAGTTTTGGTTGCCGGACTTGATGCTAGACCACCTTGATTACGAAGCTGTAATTCATTTCGACATAATTCCATTCCTTTTTCTATTTCCACTACTTCGGCTACACAGGTTTCCAAAGAAACTGATGTTGCCCGTTCGATTATCTGCAACAGGTGATCAAAATCATAGGGCATTTTAATGTTTTCCAAGACGTTGGCATCCGAATTAGCACCACTTAATTGATGATGTTGTGATCGATTACTAATCAATAATGGACGTATAGCTAAAGCAGTGGCCAATACTTCAGATTTACTTGGACCAGAATGATTACCACCCGGTTTTTCTTTAGCCATTATTACATCAACCAGATAATGTAACAATGAACGTGAACGATCCACAGAAGATTTGGTTTCAGTAATCAAATCCAGTGTTTGCAATTTGAATCCATATGCTGGTGCTGTAGCCAATGTGCGTGTGGAACAATTTAAATAATTGCCAAAAACAAGAATATATTCCAATATTTCTCGTACACCGGGTGATGTTCGTATAGCTATGGCTGCTTCCCGTATCGATTGAATTCGTTGTAAATATTGCGTTATAATAGTCATGACCATTGTAGATTCATTATTGCTGCTTGATTTATGATTGAAAGCCGGTGAATCGACAGGCATATTAATATTATTCATATAGAACATTATTCTTAGTTTAGGTTCCAAACGTTCTACTTTGGATATTTGTAATAGAAATTTATCCACATCATTCATTTCATCAATCGATCTGCCTTGTCGTTCATATTCACGATACGATTTCATTTCTTCGGGTTGTGGTATCATTCGTAACAAGACTTCGGTATAATCCATAGATAATATATTTGTATCGAATGAATGTATTGCTTTCACAACAGTATCGGTATCGAGATCAATTTTTCGCATTGAAATGGCCATATTTCGAAGACGATTATGCTGTAATAGGGAAACTTTCTCCGGTACTTTAAAACGCTTCGAAACATCACCGGTGGTACTTCCACCACCAATACCATTAGCCATGCCAGATGAATCTCGTTGATCTTGACCACTAATTGGGCCGGCTTTTTTACCGCCAAAAGATTTGATGCCCAACTTGAATTGTTCTTCGAAATCATCAAAATTAATCGTTTTGAGTATAGTTTCTTCATCATGAAAATCATTAAATATCGTTCCTTTTACTTGATTCGGCTTTAATGGTACCCAATTGAAAGTTGGTAATTTGTATTTGGTCTGATAGGTTCGTTTCAATGTCATCAACATATTCGATGATTCATTCGAAGATCCAAATGCACCGGAAGACATTGGAGGAGGAGGTGGTGGTGGCGGTGGTACCATACTGAATGATGGTTGAGGAGGAGGTGGTGGTGGTGGCGGAGGAGGGGGTGGCGGTGGAATAGGTGATGTTAATGATGATTGCGTTGAATTTTGAGGCACTGTTGTTGTTGATGATGATGATAATGAAGAAGTTAAATGTGATGAATTTTTGGAACCGGTTTCATTATTATTATCACTATTGACTAGGTTGGTAGAATCGATATCACCACCACCACCGCTGGTTGACATTCGTTTTAATTCATTAATTCGAGACTCTAATAATGATTCACGACGTCTAGATTCTTCCAATTCGGACACCGATTGTTTTAATCTGGATAATTCATCAATCATATGTTGATTTGATTGGGCCAGATCCAAATGATCTTTTTCCAATGAATCATATGCATGTTTCAGTTCATGAAATTTGGATTCCCAATCGCGTTCAGCTTCATGTGCATTGGCAACTTGTTGTATTAATTGTTGACATTGTTCCAATGCTACATTTTTTTGTTCAGCATCTTCCATCAATGCTGCAACATCGAATACATTATCTAAATATGCTTGAATCTGTACCAATAAATCATCCGATTCCATATTGCGTAATTTATTCTCCAGATAATCATCCAAGCCCAGTTGTGTGAATTCATATTGTAAATGAACACGAAAATTCATATCTTCAACAGAATGTACAATGATGTTGATGAATTGCATACAAGCAACCATAAAATCGATATTGAATTGTTCATAATTCATAAAATAATGCATCAATGTTTGAAATCGTCGTTTTTCACCAATTTCTTCTTTAAAATTATCAAATGCGGCAAGTATCATTTGATGGCCGCCTTTAACAAGACAGATGGCTGCTAATAGTTCGAGAACCAATGATTTTGTACGCAATGATTTATGCGTCATGGAAAGTGCTATACAATTGATTGCCGATTTATGTTCCATAACCAAATTGAAACCAAATTTATTGTTCATAATGGCCCGCATACACATTATACAAACATGAACATCATCACCAACTTGTCCCAATTTTACTTTTGTCGAATGTTGTCGAGAGAATAGGAATGATGGCCGACGTTGTAATGTTGTATGATTACCATTCGATTGTTGTTGATTTGCATTGGTTGAAGATGGAAAACTTTCCTGACTTGAATTAAGATTGGCTGTGGATGTAGAACTGAATGCTGTTGAAATTGTGGCATTATTGTTGCAATATTGTTCATTATTATTGTTACTATTATTCGTACCCTGATGATATTCACGCCATTGTTGTTGTTTTTGTGTTTGAAGACGAAATTTTAGATATTCAATCAGAATATCGAGACCACGATTATGTTCGGAAAGAAAATCTCTAACCCATTCAATAGAATTGGTTCGTAGAGAAATTTCAAGATCACGAAGTACTTGTGTGGATGTCACACCACCAAGTTGGCGTAATTTTTTTGAATTTTTCGATGCTTTGGGATCTAGATAAGTTTGTATTTTATCCAGATAATCTTGCGGTGATTGTCTGGCAGTTATTTTTCCTTGATCACGTATCAATTCCCATTTACGTTCATCATCATAGCTACGTAATAATTTGGCTTTATCCGGTGGCAAATCCATTGATGTAAGCACTGTGTGATGAAACAAAAACCAAATATAAATACAATATTGCAATAAATTCAATAAATATTGCACAAACCTTTTTGAAATCTACGTTCCAATTCATTTTTCTCTGGTCTTTCAATATCACTTGTCGATAATAACATTGACATGTTGGCTGTTGGTTGATAATTTGTATGGTCCAAACTAATACCTTTGCCCAATTTATTTCTCTGTTGTGATTTTTTATTGGTTGGTGAACTAATCGTTTTCATTGATTTTGACTTATATTTGGATGGATGTTGTTGTTGAAATGAAATTGATGGTGATAGACTACCATTATTATGCATCATTGTTGTTGTTGTGGTTGGTGTTGATGCGGATGATTCACTTTTCAATGTTGTTGATCGATTTAAATTATCATCATCACAAGAATTATGTATATCATTCAACGAGGATGACATACGTCCCCCCATCGTTGTCGTTTATTATTTATTCAATGGATTTTTTATGATTATAATGTTACCGTTGACATTTGAATGTCAAAAATGATCATCACCATTATGATGATGAGGATTTTCATCGATCGTCATCAAACTATCAAAATCTAATAGAAAATAAAGGAAAAAAACGAGAAAAATGAACAAATTGCATTCAATCAATCAATCATCAAACATAATCAACTCAATACATTCGAAATGTGATATCTGATGATGATAATAATGATAATGATTAGAAAAAAATACTACTATCTTTTTAGATATATTTCGCTAATGATAAATTCAAAAAAACAAAATGATTTCAAACAAGTATACAAGATTCATTCAACAAGAAAAATTGATTTCATAGAATATTTGGAAAGAAGAATATTCTTTGATTAGTAGAAATAGTGGATTAACAACATTCGAAATGATCATCAAGTTATGAGTCATCAACGATGATGATGATTCTTGATGTTTAACAAAAATTAGGTTTTTTGATCAAAATCCAAACAAAATTTCAACGATGATGGTTAATGATGAGGGAAGTATTATGCACGAATTCACACAGGTTACGCCAGCGCGCCAACGCATCAACAACAAACAAACACACACATGACAACCAGAAAAAGGGTTATTTATTCGATTCGATTATTTCACATCAAAACACACAATCAACATAATAAATAGCACTTGTTTGATTACAAATTTGAATTGAAATGATGAAAGACCTTGAATTTTTTTGCATCTTTTGTTCACACTATATAGCAGGTGTGTGATAAATTAAGGTTTTTTTGTTTAATTTAAAAATTAAAATTTCAATAATAATAATGATGATGATGATGGTTGAATGATCATGCTCAAATCAATTAATAATTTTTTTTCATTTTTATTTTTTGATTATCAATCATCAATAGGAAATTCGGGTATGGCAAAATGAAAAAAAAACTGGATTGATCAATCAATCAAAAAAAATCATCATCATCAGATTGAATGGTAATAAAAAATAGGAAATTACTCGTTACAATTGTAATAAAATCCTAATTATTATTTAGTTAGCTGTCATATAATAATGATGATGATAATAAAAAATATTTCGAAACAACCAATACAGACACTTAATGACATATCTGATTTCTTCGAAAAATAGAGAACAAACAAAATCAAATAAGGAAATTGTGATTAACAAAAAGAAACTCCCATTGACATTATAATGAAATGAGATTGTCAAAACATTTAATTTACTAACGTAATAAGTAAAAAATTAAAACTTACCAATTTTATTTCAAAATTCAATGAAAATTTTTTTAAAATAAACCAACACAAACAATTTCTTTTTCTTTGGCCGATTAAATCGAAATATCCAAATGATTTTGCGTAGAAATTAGAAAATTTACAGTGGCAATATTATGATTATTTAAATAACAAGATGATGACACCAACCACGAACAAGGTGTATTTAGAAAGAAGAAAAAAGAATTTTCATAATTCTTGTTCGAATTTGGCTAAAACTGTTTTACTGTTGTTGTTGTTGTCATAATTGACCAATATATTTTGCAAAATTTTGACAATTTTCTATAGCCCAAACAGCAATTCGGCAAAATAGAAACGAAAATGCATGATCAAACAGAACATCGATCGCAATCGATCGATTCGATGTTGATGTTCGATGGTCGTCGTCGTCGTTTTCAACATAACAACAGGGTGAACACACATTGCCAACGCCTTGAAAATCGATGTCTATTTCCACCTCCTCCCCCATTCTCTCCCTTGTTATCACATTTTTTTTTCCTTCAATGCACTGTCCATTGTGTTCGAATGGTGATGACCCCCCTCTTCTTCGCATATGGTGGTTCTTGTTTTTTTTTTGGTTCAACTCTTTCACTGACCACTACTTGAAAAAAATGCCATGTGTTAATGTTATGTCATACAATTTCATACTGCTACCATTCAGAATAGACAAAAAGGTAGCAGCATAAAATTTTATTATATAATCAAAGACTTTATCGCCATCTTTTGATGATAATTATAAATTGAAAAATTTTTGAATATTGTCAAAAAAAATATCATAATAATAATGAGAAAAGAATGTTATCACTATTGGTTCAGTGAGGTTAGGTTGATGACTATGACTATGGCCGTGATTGATAGTTGAGTGAGGTTAGGTTGGTCACTATGCCTGTGATTCATAGTTGAGTGAGGTTAGGTTGATGACTATGACTATGCCTGTGATT